GCAGGCCTGGTGGTAATAAAATCTCTGAGTTCTTGCTTGTTCATAAAAGATTTTATTTTTCCTTCAGTTGTGAAGCTTAGTTTGGCTGGATATGAAATTCTGGGCTGAAGGTTCTGTTCTTTGAGGATGTTGAATATTGGCCCCCACTCTCTTCTGGCTTGTAGAGTTTCTGCTGAGAGATCTGCTGTAAGTCTGATAGGCTTGCCTTTGTGGGTAACATGACCTTTCTCTCTGGCTGCCCTTAGTATTTTCTCCTTCGTTTCAACCCTGGTGAATCTTAACGATTATGTGCCTTGGGGTTGCTCTTCTTGAGGAATATCTTTGTGGTGTCTCTGTATTACCTGGGGTTGAATGTTGACCTGCTTTGCTAGTTTAGGAAAATTTTCCTGAATAATATCCTGAAGGGTATTTTCCAGCTTGGATTCATTCTCTCCGTCGCATTCAGGTATACCTATCAAACGTAAATTTGGTCTTTTCACATAGTCCCACATTTCTTGGAGACTTTGCTCATTCCTTTTTATCCTTTTTTCTCTAATCTTTTCTTCACGTTTTATTTCATTAAGTTGAACTTTGACCTCTGATATCCCTTCTTCTGCTTGAACAATTTGAGTGTTTAAACCTGTGCATACTTCTCGGAGTTCCTGTATTGTATTCTTCAGTTCCATTAATTCACTCATACTCCTCTCTAAGTTGTCTATTCTCAATAGGATTTCATCAAACCTTTTTTCAAAGTTCCTAGTTTCTTTACGTTGGGCTACAACACGTTCTTTTAACTCACCGAAGTTTGTTATTATCCATTCCTTGAAGAGTGATTCTGTCATCGGGATGCGCTCGTTCTCCATCAAGCCTTGTTCCATTGTTGATGTGGAACTGTGATCATCTTTAGAGGGAGAGGCGTTCTGACTTTGAGTATTCTCAGCTTTTTTACGCTGGTTTCTTCCCGTCATTGTAAATTTATCCTCCTGTCGTCTTTGAAATTACCAACTTTCAGATTAGGTCTCTTGAGTGGATGTCCAGGTTGTTAGTTCCCAGGGCCAGAGCAGCGGCGTTAAAACTGATGGTGCTTTTCTGCCCAGGATTCTCCTGTCTGGCTTCCTTCTTGTGTCAGTAGTAGGTGACTCTGCCTTCCCAGGACTCCAAACCTCGGTCAGAAGGGGAACCCGTCCCGTTTACTCTGCGCCGAGCGCTGCTGCGCTGAGGTGCTGTCACAGCCGCTGCCCCGCCGAGGTGCCATCACAGCCACTGCACCGGGCTCTGGTATTGTGCTGGGGGCCCGTGCGGGTCCTCCAAATGTGTTTACTCTGCTCCGAGAGCTGCTGCGCCGAGGTGCGGGCGGAACTGCTGCGCCAGCCACGAGAGTCACGCTGGCGACCCCTGTGTTTCCTCCACTGGGGGATCTTCTGCTCCGTGAGCAGCCAGACGTTGTCTGAAAGTGTGGCGTCCTCTAGTTCTCCGCGCCTTCCCTGAGAGCTGCAATCTCGGGATGTTAGCGATCGGCCATCTTGGATCGTTCCCAGGCACCCTTCTTAGCAGATCTAATCATGTCACTCCGGGCACACCCAGAGTCCTCATGACTGTGCCCTGCCAGCCTCTGCAGGCTCATCCCCCCATTTGTTTAGCTTCAGACTCTGGCCGTACCAAACGGCCTTCAGGCCCTCCGCTCCACTGCCTTGCCTGGCATTTTCATTCTTCAGACTGCACTTAGCTCTCTCCTCCACCTCCCACCCATGCATGTGGAGGAGTCACTCCCTCCTCTCCCACCACACCTGGAGAGGGCTGGGTCTTAAGGCTTATCCTGCCCTGCAGGGGTTGGTCTGTGCATCTGTCTCCCACATTAAACAATCAGTGCCTCGAGGCCAGAGAACACAGCTTATTATCTTTGTCCACTCCCCAGTGCCTGACATGGAGTGGACGCTCTGTAATTGTGTGCTGAATAGTAAATGGAAATAAGCCAGAAAGAAAGAAGCTGCCTGGGATTTAAAGTAGCCACAGGTTTTGTTTTGCTTTGCTTCAGTTCAGCAAAAATTTACTAAGCGTCAACTAGGTCATAGACGCTAGGAACAGAAAAAATAACAAGGTAGGTTGTTTGCCTTATAGAATTTACCTCACATCCAGTATGAGATGGGAGCAGAAACACAGGCAGAGTGATGAGTGCAAGTGTGGACCATAAGGCAGCCATAGAGAATCAGCCGCATTTGTATTTGGGGAAGACACACTCCTGACCCCTGAACAGCCTTCTTAAAAGTACTAGAAAGATACTGTCTTTGTACTAGTTTTTAAACTTTTTCTGTGTTTGGAAGGCTTCTGTTAGTGACTTTTTTAATTTTTATTTTTTTATGAGATGGAGTCTCGCTCTGTCGCCCAGACTAGAGCGCAGTGGCACAATCTCGGCTCACTGCAACCCTCCCTCCTGAGTTCAAGTGATTCTCCTGCCTCAGCCTCCCGAGTAGCAGTGATTACAGGCACACGCCACCATGCCCAGCTAATTTTTGTATTTTTAGTAGAGACAGGGTTTCACCATGTTGGCCAGGATGGTCTCAATCTTTTGACCTCATGATCCGCCCACCTTGGCCTCCTAAAGTGCTGGGATTACAGGTGTGAGCCACCATGCCTGGGCTTTAAACTTTTTGCTTGACCTTGCTAGCAATACCACTTGATGTTGGCAGACTCCCTTACTGGATTGCAGTGGCTGTACCTGTGCTGTATGACTTAGGAGTGAACACGTGTTCTCCCTGGCCCAGATCAGCACTCATCAGTGATTTTATCATCAGCTGCATCCTGCTGATTGTACAGCCCCCTGTTGAGAATAATGGTGTGAGTGGGACACAGTCCTGCCTCCTATGGGTAATATGAAGTCTTTGACCCACCAGTTCATGTGTTCCTTGCTGTATTCATGCATTGTTACATAATTAAAACAAATTAGAATCATTTCATATACAGAACATGCACCAAGAAATTTTGACCTTTTTATAGAGTTGATAGTAAGCTTTATGTCAGTAGGGCTTATTTTTCCTATCAGTCGTTTTCTTTTTTTTTTTTTTTTGAGACGGGGTCTCACTATGTTGCCCAGGCTGGTCTCAAACTCTGGACTCAAGCGATCCTCCCATTTCAGCCTCCCAAAGTGCTGGGATTACAGGTATGAACTACCACACATAGCCATTTTCCTACCAGTCTTAACCCTGACCACACATGCTTCCCTTCCTGTGCCTTTCAGCTTATAACTTAACTATTAATAAATACAACTGTAGTCTTCAGCTGGAGTGTAAGATAACTGATCCATAGGAAAACCCACACATGGGGTTCAGGAGCCATTGTTCAGGACAATGAATAAGATAAAACTTTTGGTGCTGGGCACGGTGGCTCATGCCTGTAATCCCAGCACTTTGGGAGGCCAAGGCAGGTGGATCACTTGAGGCCAGGAGTTCTTGAGCAGCCTGGCCAACATGGTGAAACCCCATCTCTACTAAAAAATACAAAAAGTAGCCATGCATGGTGGCACATGCCTGTAATCCCAGCTACTCAGGAGGATGAGTCAAGATAATCAGGAGGATGAATCAGGAGAATCGCTTGAACCCAGGAAGCGGAGGTTGCATTGAGCCAAGATGGTGCCGTTGTATTCCAGCCTGGGTGACAGAGTGAAACTGAGTCTCCAAAACAAAACAAAACAAACTTTTGGGCTGCAGGGACAGGGATATTACTTTCTTTTTTTTTTGAGACAGAGTTTCACTTTTGTTGCCCAGGCTGGAGTGTAGTGATGCAGTCTCAGCTCACTGCAACCTCTGCCTCCCGGGTCCAAGCATTTCTGCCTCAGCCTCCCAAGTAGCTGGGATTACAGGCATGCGCCACCGCACCCGGCTAATTTTGTATTTTTAGTGGAGACGTGGTTTCTCCATGTGGGTCAGGCTGGTCTCAAACTCCTGACCTCAGGTGATCCACCTGCCTCGGCCTCCCAAACTGCTGGGATTACAGGCGTGAGCCATTGCACCTGGCAGAGATACTATTTTCAGAGAAGAGAAATGTAGACAAGCAAAAGAGCAGATCGGGGGTTAGGAAGCAATCATGAACTCACTTTTGAACCTGTTGGGTCTGTGGAAATGCACAGGAAGTTGAAGCTCAGCAGGGGTGCTAGGGTTGGAGCTGGAGCTGCATTGGTGAATGAGATGGTGTTAAGTATGAAAAGAAGAGATCTAGGGCAGAACAATGGAAAGCACACACGGGCTGTGTGACCCAGGAGAAATGAGCAAAGGATTGATTTAACAAGAAGAAAACCAAGAGAAAGATATTACAGAAGCCAAAGGAATAATGTAGCTTCCTGGTGCCACATGTTGCAGGAATAAGGGCTAAAGAGAGACTGCTCAGTTTGGCAAGTAGGTAGGTGATCATGAGCAAGAGCATTTTAGCAGAAAGCTGAGGAGGGAGGAAGCTTGACTGCAGTGGGTTGAGGAATATTGGGAGATGAAGACACTGAATTCGTGAATGTAGACCATTCTTTCAGAAGATTCCCATTCTTTTTGGTTTAGAAATGGAACATATACAAATGAAAAAATGGGCATGTTTTAAAGCTGAGATTAGGAGACATTTACATATGTGGGAACAGATGTCTGCAGTTCCTGGGAAGGAATGAGAGCAACAGCCAGGTGGGGTGGGTCTGCCTTGAAAAGGAGCAGTGACCTCTGTTGTCCAAGACAAGGAAGGAGCCAGCTAATAAAGGCAGGTGTTTGTGGAAGGGAGTGAAGCTAGGGGATTCATGCCTGGTAGCATTTCTGTGGGGCAGGGAACTGTGTGGTCTACTAGGGGTGACAGGAAGGAAGTGGGAAGGATGTCAGTAAAGTGCTGGAGGCATCCCTTTCCAGGTAAGGCTTGGTGCGGCAAATCTGATGGTAACCCAGGGTGGGCCAGCCTCTTGCTGGTGCTGAGCATGAAGCAGCTGTCAAGAAGCAAACAGACAAACCCGCGCCCACACACAGAGAATATATGTCATTTTTGTGTTTCTGTTTTAGGAACCGAAATGAATAAAAGTAGCTGGCAGAGTAGGAGAAGACGTGGAAGAAGAAGCCACCAGCAGAACCCTTGGTTCAGACTCCGTGATTCTGACGACAGGCAAGTATGCCGCTCTGGGGAGCCACTTTTGCCCAGTGTGCTTCTGGCATTATATCTGTGGCATGTCACATGCTCCCAGGCCTGGAGCTCGCTGGGGGCTTGTCCAAATACAGATGCTGATTCCGTGGGTCTAAGGGGGTCCTGAGGAGAGCCTGCATTCCTGACGTGCTCCCAGAGCAGGTCGCTGTGGTGGGTCAGTCAGCCCACCACACTGAGTGGTGAGGAGAGAGGACCACCCTCTGTTCTTTCCTAAGTGACCATGACTTCTGGCCAGAGCATCAGCCATAAGGCTAGAGGTAGATGTTATATGATACAACTGGAAAACTGTTTCTCCATTCTATAGACTTTTTATAAAAATACCTTTGTGGAAACCAAATTTTATTCATTAAGCCTAAGTCTTGGACAAGGATATACACTCATGCTTCGCTTAACGACGGGAGGTGCATTCCGAGAAATCTGTTGTTAGGCAGCTTTGTCATACAAACATCATAGCACATACTTAACACAAACTACACACCTAGGCCATATGGTAGCCGATTGCTTCTGGGCTGCAAACCTCTACGGCATGTGACTGTACTGAATACTAGAGGCAGTCAGGACACAGTGGTATTTGTATCTCAATATAGAAAAGATACAGTAAAAATAGGGTATATAAGATTTTAAAAAATGATATACCTATATATGACCCTTCCTGTGAATGGAGTTTGCAGGACTGGAAGTCAGTGAGTGAGTGATGAGTGAGCATGAAGGCTGAGGGCATTACTGTATACCAGTGTAGACTTTAAAAACACCGTACACTAGGCTTTATTAAATTTATGTATTTACTTAAGAGATGAGGTTCGCCAGGTGCGGTGGCTCACGCCTATAATCCCAGAACTTTGGGAGGCTGAGGCAGGTGGATCACGAGGTCAGGAGCTCAAGACCATCCTAACACTATGAAACCCCACCTCTACTAAGAATACAAAAAGCCAGACTTGGTGGCACGTACCTGCAGTCCCAGATATGTGGGAGGCTAAGGCAGGAGAATTGCTTGAACCTGGGAGGTGGAGGTTGCAGTGAGCTCAGACTGTCCCACTGCACTCCAGCCTGGGCAACAGAACAAGACTCTGTCTCAAAAAAAAAAAAAAAAAAAAAAAAGGTAAGGTCTCACTGTGTTGCTCAGGCTGATGTCAAACTCCTGACCTCAAGTGATCCTCCTGCCTCAGCCTCCCAAAGTGCTAGAATTACGACTTGAACCACCATGCAAGGCCAAGGCTACATTAAATGTATTTTAAAAATAAAGTTGGCTAGGTTGGGCATGGTGGTGGCTCATGCCTGTAATCCCAGCACTTTAGGAGGCTGAGGCAGGGGGATCACTTGAGGTCAGGAGTTTGAGACCAGCCTGGCCACCATGGCGAAACCCTGTCTCTACTAAAAATGCAAAAATTAGCCAGTGTGGAGGCACACACCTCTACTACATCCTTCAGCCTATAATTGCCACAGAAGCTACTTGTGCGTTTACACATCAAGTGTTTTAGCCAGGGCTGTATCCCAGTGTTACTGAGCTAAACACCTCTGTCCCCCAAAGCCCAGTTTCTCTATCTGTAAGATTTGGTAGTCAGGAAAAATTTAAACTCTTTGTGCTGCTGAATTCAATAAAGAATGAAATTCACCTGGCCTTGTCACTGCTGTTGTGCTGACAAATGAGCCCAGCTGGTAAAATTCTTATTGGCAGAGATTTCTATTTTTCATTTTTATCTGGAAAATTCCAAAAGACCTCACAAAATGCTCAAGTGAGGAGGTAAGAAGAGGGAACCACTGTGACATCTATTCTCTTTTAAAGAAAGAAAAAAGAATGAAAAACCAAAACCTTGCCCTTATTTTGTTGTGTTTGCAAGAGGGGATCAGTGCTTCTCAAGTAATCAGAACAGTCGTGAAGGCTGCTAACTGCCCGAATGGACCCTGAGTCAGGATGACTGGAACTCAAGCCCTAGGCTGCAAGTGAACCCAGCTGTGTGTTAACAGGTCCAACTCCCAGGCAGCACAGCCCGCTCAAGATTCTGGCAGCCGTGATGACGAGTCTCCGTCGACCTCGTCTGGCACAGCTGGGGCCTCCTCTGTGCCAGGTAAGGCCACCTGCTGGGTGGGACTCCTGGCCCCTGTGTACAGGGAAGGCTGAGACCAGTTCTTGGCTTTGAAGGAATTCCAGGAGCAAATTGAAAGGCTCAGGAAAGGAGCTGGGTGTGTCGGGAATGGTGGTCCTGAGGCACAGTGTCTCCCCCAGTGCTGAGCACAGTCCAGGATGTCCCCTGACAAGGCAGCTCATCCGTGCTCTCAGCAAAGACAGGCAGCCATGAGGGGCGGGGACAGGCTGCTGGGCACCCAACTCAGGTGGTCAGTTCACAGTGGTTGAAATTAATGCATTTAATTTTTTTGTCTGAAGAGCTGCCTGGGTTTTACTTTGACCCTGAAAAGAAACGCTACTTCCGCTTGCTCCCTGGACATAACAACTGCAACCCCCTCACGAAGGAGAGCATCCGGCAGAAGGAAATGGAGAGCAAGAGACTGCGGCTGCTGGAGGAAGAGGACAAGCAGAAAAAGGTGGGCTCCTCACCCCTTTGTCCCCGGTCCTCTCTGCTCCTGCCAGCACCCGTCCACTGTTGCAAAGGGCACCAATGAGATGCCCCGCCACACTTAGCAGACGCACTTCAGGGGGTGTGGCCCCTGCTTTTCCCTGACAGGAAGATGAAGACAAGGATAAGAACGGCCAAGAGCCCCTCCTCCCATCTGCCTTTTCTTGTTTGCTACGTTTCTTCAGCAGTTTTTTTTTTTCTTTTTTTTTTTTTGAGACAGTGTCTCTGTTGCCCAGGCTGGGGTGCAATGGCACAGTCTCAGCTCACCGCAACCTCCGCCTCCCAAGCTCAAGCAATTCTCCTACCTCAGCATCCCGAGTAGCTGGGACTACAGGTGTGTGCCACTGCGCCCAGCTAATTTTTGTATTTTTAGTAGAGATGGAGTTTCACCATGTTGGCCAGGCTGGTCTCGAACTCCTGACCTCAGGTGATCCACCTGCCTCAGCCTCCCAAAGTGCCAGGATTACAGGTGTGAACCACCACATCTGGCCTTCCTCAGCAGTTCTCACATTTTGTCTTTCCTGAAGGAATCTTGGAAGGCAGTGTGATATAATTTCAGTGACTGTTTTTGTTTTTTGTTTTTTTTTTTTTGAGATAGTCTCACTCAATGCCCAGGCTGGAGTACAGTGGCACCATGTCAGCTCACTGCAACCTCCAACCTCCTGGGTTCAAGTGATACTCCTGCTTCAGCCTCCAGAGTAGCTGGGATTATAGGTGCCCACCACCATGCCCAGCTAATTTGCTTTTTTTTTTGTAGAGATGGAGTTTTGCCATGTTGGCTAGGCTGGTCTTGAACTTCTGGCCTCAAGTAATCTGCCCACCTCAGCTTCCCAAAGTGTGGGATTACAGACATGAGCCACCATGCCCAGCCCAACTGTCTGTTTTAAAGAGAAGACCAGGAGGCATGGTTTGAAGTACAGGCCATCTTGACAACAGATCTAGATGCCGGGATATTTTGTTGTCAAGGTAGGCAATGGAACGGAAAGTTCCAGCCTTGGGTCACCACGGGTGGAATGGAGAGCGGCGCAGACCTGGTTCCAGTCCCATTGCTGCACTCACATGCCTGGTGGCTCCAACCCCCGGGTGTATGTGGATGGGGAGCTCAGGCAGAGTTGATGAGCAGACTTTCCTGCTCTCACTTTCTTGTGCTGGACCTTTCCTCTTGCCAAGGAAAGGAGGTTGGGGAGGACACCATCGGATTTTTAGGCATGTAATTTCTGTCAGTTTAGTACCTGTTTCCTTCATTGCCTCCTATGGAACTAAAAACATGTTCTCCATATCCCATAACAAATCAATCTTCACTGAATTGTTCTCTTTTCTGTAATAAATCTAGATTGCCAGGATGGGATTTAATGCATCTGCCATGCTACGAAAAAGCCAGCTGGGTTTTCTCAACGTCAGCAATTATTGCCGGTAAGACAATACCTCGTCGTTACGTTTTCTTCATGAATGTTCTTTTCCTGTTTCTTATTTTTATGGTCCAAGAATCCAATCAATAGACAATGTGGCTACCCCATGAGGCATCTGCACAGTTGAGGGCTCCAGTTCACACCCTGCCTTCTGCTTAAATCTACCCTGAGAAAGCTGTTCTCTCTCTAGAGTAAGGAGAGGGATTCTTGCAGGAGGCTGGGGAGAGAGGATGGGGACCTAGGCAGAGATGTCTACTCTCTGTTACTCATAGATCATTCTAGTAGAAGATCTTACAACTTCATTCCTGTGACATTTCTGCATCCTTCTCTCCCCCTTCTAATGAGTTATCACCAAAAATAGGGCATTAAATGGATGTATATGTACTAAACTTTATCAAAGTACTTACGATGTTCTCACTAAAACTGTGTGAGATAGGCCAATACTTCCCCCCATTTCCTGAAGAAGAGGCTGAGGGTCAGAGTGGAGTGATTTGCTCAAGGTAAAGCTAGAAGTGGGGAACTGACACCAATCCCTGAGATCCCAGCCCTGTGTCTCCTGCCCCCACTGTACATGGGCAAGTGAAGAACCCTGCACTTGAGGTGGCTTCCTGAGGGCAGTCCTTGCACCTTGGAGCAGTGCCCCTTCAGGGAAGGCCAGAAACACCGTGGGTATCAGACAGGGCAGGCCCCTCCTCTGTTTTCCTCCTTCTGAGACAGAAAGAGTTAAAAATCTAGTGAGACCTGTTCCTCTTCATCCTTCATGGAGAGGCTCTGCCCAGCAGCGGAGGGCCCTCCAGCCCATTGTTTCATCTCCAGCACTTTCGTCATCTCAGGAGAAGGCGCTGTACTGGGTGATGCAGACACAACTCCCTCTATCTCCCACTCTTTGACTCTGCAAATGGGCCACCCAGTTCTTCATTTTCATCTTTCTGAGCATTCTGTGGGGAAACTCAAATTCAGATAATTTGGGATCTTGCTCAGCTCCGTTACTGAGAAGTACTGTGGAGCAGGCTGACGAGGAGAGATGGGCTTCAGCAGGCAGGGAAGGGCAGAGACCCCCGAATCTTCATGGATGTCAGCACAGCATCCATGCCCCCACCCTCTGTTTCTGCAGTTTAGCCCACGAGCTGCGTCTCAGCTGCATGGAGAGGAAAAAGGTTCAGATTCGGAGCTTGGATCCCTCTGCCTTGGCAAGCGACCGATTTAACCTAATACTGGTGAGTGGGAGGGGGATGCCTGTGAATGTCTAGGATGTGGCTGCCACCCTCTGGACACTTTGTGGCTTAGTGTTGCCTGGCTCTGTAGAAACCAACTGCTGTGAAAGCAGATGGCATCATCTTGGTTCTACAATTTGCACCTGCCTGCTGGCTACCTGCTGGGAGATACTGAGCTGGCAGGGCAGGCTGTGTGGTGACTGTCACCACCCCACTTCAGTGCCCATCATTTGACATTAGAGCCTGGACCCAGCCACATCTTGACCAAGAAACTTTACACAGTAACTTCTCCTTGGCTGTGTTGTATGTGCAATTGAAAAGCGGACCAGTGGGCATCTCATTCTTCCTAAACTGGGGCAGGACTTGGTGGCTAAACCTGCAGCCCAGTGTACCTTTGGTCACTACAGGGTAGGACTCCCTTGCTGGCTGCCCCTGGCCTCAGTGGCACCTCCCATCCACACACCTCCATCACATCATTTGTAGCAGGTAAAAGGTCTCTGGTTTGGGTTGGACCCAAGCTGGAATTCAGGGTCAGCTGCTTAAACCCAGGGGCCCAGGAAATGTTGGCAGAGGGCTAGAGGGTCCATTGCAAACAAAGGGACCCTGACTCCTCAATGGGTCACGTAAGAGCAGGGCCCGCCCGGCAAGCCCTGTCCTTCCTGGAGGCTGAGATGAAAACCAGGGAGGGTGAAAGGAGGACACAGCAGCAGGTGCTCCTGGACTCAGTCATCTGCTGGTGGAACTGGAGGCCGATGCCCCAGACTGACCCTGGAGGTTGACATTGCATCCTCTTGCCCCAGGGACCTCCACAGTGGGGCCCTGCCATGGGAGGGGTGTTGGGGCCTGCCCCACATTCTCCCGTGTGGCTTTTCTCTCCATGTATGCTTGGGGATATGGTTTGACCAAATGAGTAGAATCTTCTCTTGTGGTGGGTTCCCCTCAGGAGCCCCTTCCCGGGGTAAACCGGGTGGGGATTGGGGGGGCATCATTGTTGTGTGGGGTCTGGTGATGCACAGGCCACTGCTCACAAGCCTGGATGCCCCAACTGTCATGCTTCATCTCTCCTGACCCAGGCTTTCCGTGGGGTAGGTCTTCCCCACTACCCAAAGTTACAGTGACTCTGGCTGGCCACTGTGACCGCAGGGTTGGAAAGTGGCTTGCCACCTGGAGAGCAGTTTTTCAGATCAGAGTCTGGTCTCAGTAATTCTGGGAACATAAATTCTTCCTGAGGAAACTTACAAAGTTGGTGCCATTTCACCAAAACCAACATCCACACCTGTGTGTAGGTCTGTATTAATATATGCAAAACACATAAATATGTGGAGTTTTTGCTTTGACATAGCTATTAACCACATCATGTTTTAAAATGAGAAAAGAAAAGCTTAAAATAGCCCACATCCAGCACAGTGGTTCACAGTCCCAGCATTTTCGGAAGCCTCGGCAGGTGGTTCACTTGAGCCGAGAAGTTCAAGACCAGCCTAGGCAACACAGGTAAACTCTGTCTTCATACGAAAAATAAAAATCAGCTGGGCATGGTGGTGTGTGTGTGTACTCCCAGCTACTTGGGAGGCCAAGGTGGGAGGATCGCTTGATCCCAGGAAATCAAGGCTCCAGTGAGCCATGATTGTGCCACCGCACTCCAGCCTAGGCAGTGGATAAAGACTCTGTCTCAAAAGGAAAAAAAAATTGGTCCAGGCACAGTGGCTCACAACTGTAATCCCAGCACTTTGGGAGGCCAAGATGGGAAGATCACTTGGGGTCAGGACCAGCCTGACCAACTTTGTAAAACCCCATCTCTACTAAAAATACAAAAATTAGCTGGACATGCTGGTGCACACCTGTAGTCCCAGCTACTCAGGAGGCTGAGGTGGGAGAATAGCTTGAACCTGGAAGGCAGAGGTTTCAGTGAGCTGAGATCACACCACTGCACTCCAGCCTAGGCAACAGAGTGAGACTCCCTCTCAAAAAAAAAAAAATTAAGCTGCATCCTGAGACAGGCATGGTGGCTCACACCTATAATCCCAGCAGTTTGGGTGACTGAGGCAGGAGGATCACTTGAGGCCAGAAGTTCAAGACCAGCCTGGACAACATAGTGAGACCCTATCTCTACAAAAAATATAAAAGTGGTCAGGCCCAGTGGTTCACGCCTATAGTTTCAGCTGCTCAGGAGGCTGAGGAGAGACGATCACTTGAGCCCAGGAGTTCAGGGCTATCATCAGTTATGGTCATGCCACTGCACTCCAGCCTGGGTGACAACAGAGTGACACATGGTCAGAAAGTCTGAGCTTTACACAGGGACCTCAAATTAAAAAAAAAAATAGCCTACATCAGCCAGGTGCAGTGGCTTATGCCTGTAATCCCAGCACTTTGGGAGCTCGAGGCAGGCAGATCCCCAGGTCAAGAGTTCGAGACCAGCCTGCATCTCAAAAACAAAAAAAATACAGCCTACATCTGAATGCAGTCTTTTTCTATTCCACATTTTATTCAGTGCGATGGTTTTTTCCCCCATGGTGCTAAAAAAAGATCGTGCCTGTGTAATAGGAACTAGCATTTTTCTTGTTGCTGCACAGCCTTCATGATGGCACATGGCACATTCCTCTGGGTGGATGCTGGGACTCTTTCAATCCCGCTTCTGAGTGAGGTCCCTGTGTAGGGCTCAGACTTTCTGGCCATGTCCCCTCATTGCCATTCTCATCCTTCCTCTTGAGTTGTTAGATCAGAGACGTGCTGGCTTTGCCGGGGTTGGCTACACTGAGTTGGGGAAGGTGAGGTCATCTCCACACACACATGGCGAGGAGCTCTCACCTAGTGAAAATGCTCAGAGCATGGGGGCCAGGAGAGCCTAGGAGGTCACCCAGTGCCCCTTCCCTTCTCCAGGCAGATACCAACAGTGACCGGCTCTTCACAGTCAATGATGTCAAAGTCGGAGGCTCCAAGTATGGCATCATCAACCTGCAGAGTCTGAAGACCCCCGCGCTCAAGGTGTTCATGCACGAAAACCTCTACTTCACCAACCGGAAGGTACAGTGCCCGTCCCTGTAGCCCTGCTGCACGCTTGGCCCTGGGGTGGTTGGTCAGATTTAGGGTAGAGAGCAATTGGGAAGAGGGCAGAAGATGGTTACCTCATTTTCCCACAAGACTTGATCTTTACCTGAGCCTAGGAGTTTCAAACCAACCTGATAGCATAAAATGGTGAAACCTTGTCTCTACAAAAAAAAAAAAAAAAAAAAAAAAAAATTAGCTGAGTGTGGTGGCGCATACCTATAGTCCCAGCTACTTGGGGGTCCAGTGGGGAGGTGAGGCGGGAGGATCACCTGAGCCCAGGAGATGAAGGCTGCAGTGAACCATGATCGTGCCACTGTACCCCAACCTGGGTAACCGAGCGAGAGCCTGTCTCAAAAAATGGATTTTTAGTTGCTGAGAACCCACACGGAAAGAAAAGGGCCCAAGAGTTTCTTGTCTTGGAAAAGAAAATGACATTACATTGTTGGGGTAGGTTGAAGCAGCGCTTCTTTAACTGATCCTCAAGACTGTTCCTCCGGGGTCCAGGAGTTGATCTGAAAGGGCCCACACCAGGGCACAGAGTTCCTTGGACATGAGCCACAGTGACTGTGTCCTGGATGGAAGGGGTTCTGTCCTGTGTGTCGGAGTGATGTGCCATCCAGCCAGTCTGCGGCTGGCACTGAGGCTTCAGTCAGTAAGAGGAGCTTGCTGTCTAGGGAGCAGCCTTTAAGTTGCAGTGGGCTGATGGCAGCATCTGTGAGAAGCTGTGACTTCCTATTCAGTTGGGACATAAGCCACAAGATGGATACTGGTTGAAAATGGTTTCTGGGTGAAGAAAGATACACCTTCAGAGTTAGGTTTATCTCCTGCTATTGTAGAGAATTCAGCCCTATCCAGAGGGTATGCAGATATACTAAATGTCTCCCTGTGGGACTGTTGAAGGGTGCAGGCTTGGAGTTACTTCCCATCCTGCACAGTGCCCTGCCCCCACGATGCTTGTTCCAGCCCATTTGAAGAGGAGCAACACCTGAAGAAAGACGTCGTGTCCCCACAGGTTATGCCACAGGAAAGCACTTTACTGTAGCATAACTTTACATCTCCCTGTGTGCTTCCTCACCAGGTGAACTCGGTGTGCTGGGCCTCGCTGAATCACTTGGATTCCCATATTCTGTATCCTTTGGCAGAGGAAGAGGTTTGGTGGGCAGGCCACACCCTGATGTGGACCCGGGCATCTGTAAGCTTCATGACATGTCATCTTAGTGACCAGACGGCCAGGCCCTTGTGCACTTACATCTCACGTTTTAGAAAAAGGCAGCGTACCTGGCTAGAACACAAGGACATCCCGTGAAGCACAGAGAAGCAGCTGAGGTCCCATCGTGGCAGTTTCTCAAGATGACATTGATGTCATTGTGTGCCACACACTGTCTAGACCTTCATATCCATGTGTGGCACAAGATGGGAACTCAGGCAGTCTGGCTCCAGAGCCAGCCCACTCTACCACTGTGGCGTGTGACAGAGGCTCTGGGTTCACTACACAGACCCAGTATTCCTGCCGGAGAGCTAGTGCGGTAGCAGAGGAACAAAGCGGAAAGGGGAGGAAGCCCTGGGGAGGAAGCCTGGCTCCTCCTGAGGCCAGGCAGGAAAGCCACTAGTGGTCAGGAGGGCTGGGTCAGAGAGGGGGTTCCTTTGGCAGTGGACATGGGTCTGTGGGTTCTGGGTGTCAGGTCCCTGCCAGCAACAGCTTTATAGAGCACTAATCACAATAGTCTCTGCCTTCCTGAAGAGCAAGCAGAGTCACTTTGACGAGAGCACAGTAGTATAGTGTCGTGGTCCCTGGCCTCTGGGACCTTTGGGGGGCACATGACTTGATCCACCCAAAGCCACATGTTAATGACTCTTGGCCTCCATTCATTCTCATGTTAAATGTGTTCTAGGCTGGGTGCAGTGGCTCACACCGGCTCACACCAATAGTCCCAGCACTTTGAGAGGCTGGACTGAGGCGGGTAGATACCTGAGGTCAGGAGTTTGAGACCAGCCTGACCAACTCAGAGAAGCCCCGTCTCTACTAAGAATACAAAAAAATTAGCCAGTGTGGTGGTAGGTGCCTGTAATTCAAGCTATTCAGGGAGGCTGAGGCAAGAGAATCACTTGAACCTGGGAGGTGGAGGTTGCGGTAAGCCGAGATCGTGCCATTGCACTCCAACCTGGGCAACAAGAGTAAAACTCTGTCTGAAAAAAAGAAACTGTGCTCTGGAAACGACATGACCACTCATTGTATTTAACGCCTACTTCTTCAGTTGTGAGATTAACATTAGTTACCTCCTGTGAATGCACCTAGCAGTTTCTGACACATCATTGGTCCTTAACAAATAACTGAATCAGAGTCTTTAAAATTTTGTTTCACAGGAGTTTTTTGGGTTTTATTTAATTTTTTTTCAGAAAAGGGGTCTTTCTCTGTCACTCAGGCTGGAGTGCAGTGGTGCAGTCATAGCTTGCTGCAGCCTAGAACTCTGAGCTCAAGCGATCCTCCTGCCTCAGCCTCCCAAGTCACTGGGACTATTGGTATGCACCACCACACCCAGCTTACATTTCAAAGGGTTTTAAAGCCTAAAGTACATTAGCAACCTGATTATAAATTTATGTAAGGCACCATAGAAGCTGTGTGTGTTCTCTAAATTGAAATTTTTATGTGGCTTTCATTTGACGGGATTCAGTAGGCTGATGAGACTGACCACCTGTTACTGTGATGATCTAGAGGGCCAAAGAGGCCAAGCTCTGCAGAGAAAAACAAGAACCTCGTTCTCACTTCCAGTCTTTTAAAACAAGGACCGGGCGCGGTGGCTCACACCTATAATCCCAGCACTTGGTGGGACCAAGGTGGGTGGATCACGAGGTCAAGAGATCGATACCATCCTGGTCAACAAGAGTAAAACCCCGTCTCTACTAAAAATACAAAAATCATCTGGGCATGGTGGTGTACACCTGTAGTCCCAGCTACTCAGGAGGCTGAGGCAGGAGAATTTCTTGAACCCGGGAGGCGGAGGTTGCAGTGAGCCGAGATCACCCCATTGCACTCCAGCCTGGGTAACAAGAGCGAAACTCTGTCTCAAAAAATTAATAATAAATAAATAAATAAATAAATAAATAGAACAGCATGGTGTTTTTATGTTTCTGTGGGCTAAGGAGGGGGAAGAAAAAAATCCGTGTAATTGGGCTTAAAGGGACAGATGGTCTGTTGTAGCTTCATCTGTGCCTTGTGTTTCTAGTGATTATGGGCTTTTGTGCTAAAGATTTATTTATTATTATTTTTTGAGACAGTTTCACTCTAGTCGGCAGGCTGGAGTACAGTGCCACGATCTCAGCTCACTGCAACCTCCTCCTCCCGGGTTGAAGTGTCTCCTGCCTCAGCCTCCCAAGTGGCTAGGACTACAGGCACCCACCACCACGCCCAGCTAATTTTGTATTTTTAGTGGAGACAGGGTTTCACCATGTTAGCCAGGCTAGTCTTGAACTCCTCATTTCAGATGATTCGCCTGCCTCAGCCTCCCAAAGTACTAGGATTACAGGCATGAGCCACCATGTCTGGCCTGTGCTAAAGACGTTTTGTGCTGCTTTGGAAGTTCAGAGAACTTTTTCCCATTAGAAAAATGATATCTTGTTCAGACCTGCACTCTGCATTTTCCCTGCAAGAGTGGTGGGAAGTTAGACGGAATTCTTTCTATTTCTACACTTACTGGGCCCTTAGTTACCCTGCGGCCTGTCAAAGGATTGAATCTTAGCCTGGCCCCATAAGTTTGAGTATAAATAAGCTGGGATTCAGCAACAGTAACTAAAGTGCACACCCCACTTTCTTCACTTCCTTGCCCTCCAGTCCCAGAAGCAAACTAAGTTGATTTGGCAACAGTGTTCTCATTTACAGTTTCAGCAGCCTCTGTCCTGGAGATACTTAACTTGGAGCTTAACACCCAAAACAGTATGTCACATACATGTCACATATTCAGATGGTCAGGAATGTTAGCTGGCCAGGCACTGTGGCCCACACCTGTAATCTCAGCGCTTTGGGAGGCCAAAGTCGGGGGATTGCTTGAGGCCAAGAGTTTGACCCAGCCTGGGCAATATAGCAAGACCTCCTCTCTACAAAAAAAAAAAAAAAAAAATTTCAATTAGCTGGGCATGGTGGTACATGCCTATAGTTCCAGGTACTCAGGAGGCTGAGGGAGGAGGATCAAAAAAAACCCAGGGTTCAAAACTGCAGTGAGCTGTGATCACACTACTGCACTCCAGCCAGGGCAAAAGAGCGAGACGACGTCTCTTAAAAAAAAGAGAGAGAGGCGGGCCGTGGTGGCTCACAACTGTAATCCCAGCACTTTGGGAAGCCGAGGTGGGTAGATTACCTGAGGTCAGGAGTTTGAGACCGGTCTGACCAACATGGTAAAACCCTGTCTCAAAAAGAAAAAAGAGAGAGAAAAATGACCGGGCGTGGTGGCTCATTTCCATAATCCCAGCACTTTGGGAGGCCAAGGCAGATCACTTGAAGTCAGGAGCTCGAGACCAGCCTGGCCAACATGGTGAAACCCTGTCACTACTAAAAATACAAAAATTAGCCAGACGTGGTAGCACACTCCTGTAATCACAGCTGCTAGGGAGGCTGAGGTGGAAGCTGCAGTGAGCCAAGACTGCACCACTGCACTCCAGCCTGAGTGACAGAGCAAGACCTCATTTCAAAAAAATATAGATAAATAAAAATTTTTAAGATTTTTAAAAGTTACCTGATTGCTTTTCAGGCGTTTACATTTTCCAGTGGGGAATGTGTGTGATCATTCAGACAACACCTGTCGAGCATATGCAGTGGCAAGGAGCTAGAGATAGGCAGCTTCACAGGTCATCAGTTCAGGAGGAGAGCCACGTGCAGGAAGGACTGTAGCAGCCTTCCTGGAGTGAGACCCACGAGGACAGGAAGAGGCCAGGGACTCCTAAATGAAGGAAGAGTTGGGAGAAAGCTTACTGTGTTTGGCAGCAGCTTGATATTGACAATGTCTCTGGCTAGGGAGGAGGTCCTTTCAAGACTGAATTTCACTCGGGGCTGGGGGATGTCCCAGGGGGTTGTGATTGTGGAGTCATTTTTGAAAATGATTCCTTTGGTGACATTTTTGGGGGCTAAACGGGTGAGAGCAAGTCCTCAGACAGAAGCTGCTGCAAGGCTAAGGGCAGCAGTGAGGGCGTAAACTGAGGCAGCAGGAGTGGGGGGTGGGCACCAAGGGGCAGGCGCAGGCTCTAGTGTGGGCATCCTGTGATAGGAGAAGGCCCAGGACAGACCTCTCAGAGAGGGGTGGGTTAAGGCTAAGGAGTGTGTAGTAATCGGGCTACATGGCCATAGGGCAGAACTGGAACGTTGCCATCAGATACAGAAACTAGGAGCTCACTGAAGGCTGTGGTGAGAATATTCCTCTGGGAAGGTGAGGGTCAGGCCTGGATTTCAGTGGAAGAAAGGCAAGGGAGTGAGAATGACTGTAGGCTCCTCTGGAGAGAAGTTTGGCTATGAGAGGGAAAGGTGAGGAACCACATCAGTCGGAAGACACACACGTAGACAGGAGTATAAAGGGGCAGTTCAGAGAGGGAAAGCCAATGACCGATCATGTGAACAGAGACACACACATGTAGTCAGGGAAATGCAAACTGAAATAGCCGTGAGGTATCACCTTGTATCCGCTCAGATAAGCAGAAATTTAAAGGGCTGGTAGTGAGTTATTCTGTGCAATGCATTTCTGTTTTTGTTTTTTATGAATGCTGCGTTATATTGTTTATTGACAAATTATGTAGTGAAAATACAGAATGGCTTAGAAGAACTTACACCAATTTGAGAAGAGCAGTTCTCTCTGGGCAGAGGATGGAGAATTGCCCTAGAGAGGGATCAGAGAGGGCTTTTTGTTTTTTTTGTTGTATTTTATTTTTGAGACATGGTCTTACTCTGTCACTCAGGCTGGGATGCAGTCACGTGATCACAGCTCCCCACAGCCTCAACTTCCGAGGCTCAAGCAATCCTCCCACCTCAGCCTCCCAAGCAGCTGGCACTGCAGGCACACACCACAACACCCAACTGGTTTTTGTATTTTTTTGTAGAGACAGGGTTTTGCCATGTTTCCCAGGCTGGTGTCAAACTCCTGGGCTCAAGTGATCCTCCCGCCTCAGCTTCCCAAAGTGCCGGGATTACATAGGCAGGAGCCGCCACACCCAGCTTTGAACTGTATCTGATTTTTTTTGCCCTTTAAAAAAATTCTGAAGCTAAATGTGGACAGTGTGAACGCATATTCCATCTGGACGTTGGGTTACTCTGTCTTGCTTTGTGCTGTATAACCTTCCGAAGGGTAAATGTCCATGCTTCCTCCCAGAGGGAGCCTTGTGCTTGACTGTCCTTAACAGCTTTTTCCAGGCTGTGCCTCATGGGACTCGCAGAGACTCCAGGCTGTGCCACCCTGCTCCCAGCATCACTGTTTGTCAATAGTCACCCAGGTACAGGGTTCTCTTCCTTTGAAGAAACCTGTCCTCTGCCTCCCGAGAGCTGTGTGGGGATGGTTAGAGAGGGGGGTGGGGCCACTGCAGAAGCACTGTGGGAGGATGCCCTAAGCCTGTCCCAGGGTGAGTACCAGAAGTAAGTGCTTTTTTACAGCATCTGCCCCGTTTTACCCATTTTGGGCCATTTCAGTCATTTCAGCAGCCAGGGTGGGCTTAATGCGCATGTAAACCAAGGTGAGATCAGAACAGATTTGGATGCCTGTGCACATCTTTCAGAAAACACCTCTGGAGCTCCTGCATGACAGGTGCTATCAGGGATACTTGATATTCAGCCCGGATTAAGGCAGCTGGATGCCTCCTTCCTGACAGTATTCTGGATATATCACATTTTCAATCTATCAGAAAATTAGGATCAATAACACAAGGGTGAGGGGCCTCTTAAGAGTGTGGGCTTCAGGCAGACCTGGCACGAATTGCAGCTCCGCCCCTTGCCAACTTGAATGGAATATTGAACCTCTGAAGTGGACAAGGCCTTCCCAGTCTGCATCCTTGGAGAGTTAAATGAGGTCACACACACTCAGCCCAGTGCCTGGTGTTTCACTGCACAGCAAGCTTATGAGGCAGGAGTGTGTCTTACCAGCATTTTACAGACAAGGAAACTGAGACAGAGAGCTTCAGAATTTGCCTTACAAAAGTAACTTTTAGTGTCAGAAGTCAGGCTCGCAGTACCCTTTGGGAAGGTAGTAATTGGGAAAGGACATGAGGGAGGCCTCTGGGATACTGGATTGTTTTTTTTTTTTTTTTTTTTAAGATGGGGTTTCACCATGTTGGTCAGGCTGGTCTGTTTTATTTTTTAACCTGGGTGATGGTTACAGGGCTATAGTTTGTGATGACTCAATGAACTCTGTCCTTACAATCTGTACATTCTATCAGTGTAAAAGTTTATTTTAAATATTTTGGCGAAGCACAGTGGCTCATGCCTGTAATCCCAACACTTTGGGAGACCAAGAAAATTACTTGAGCCCAGGAGTTCAAGACCAGTCTGAGCAACATAGCAAGACTCCAGTCTCTACAAAAAACAAATAAGCGGTTGTGTGGTGGCTCACACCTGTGGTCCCAGTTACTTTGGGAGGCTGAGATGGAAGGATTGCTTGATCCTGGGAGGATGAGGATGCATTGAGCCATGATCACGCCACTGCACTCCAGACTGGGCAAAAGAACAAGACCCTGTCTCAAAAAACAAATGTATGTATATACACATATATGTATACACATGCACGCGCGCGCGCACACACACACACACACACACTGCTTGAGATCACATAGCTGATAGGTGTTGGAGGATTGGAACCACCTAACCTGCAACAGCGTACTACCTCCTGGATTATCAGTAGTATTAGTACTGCGAACACAACTACTTAGAATGTTACATACATTCACTTTCAGAATGACCGCTTGCGAGCCAGGCATCCCAGCTGAGTCTCCCTCTCTTGCAACCACAAAACCCAGAATAGGGCCGAAGGGATAGACCCTCTGAGCAGCGATGCCATATATGAATGTTTGCGAACCCGGTGGTCCCTGGCCCGCCTAAAGGGTAGCCTCACTTTACATTCTCCAATCTCTTAGCAGGAATAGACCGGCCTGGCATGCTCTGCAGCTTCCGGATCCCTGGTGCCTGGTCCTGTGCCTGGTCCCTGAATATCAAAGCAAATAACTGCTTCAGTACAGGTGAGCCGGGCTCCCCAGGTGCCCAGAGATTTAACAGGCCTCAAAACCCCATCCAGCTGTCACTCTCCCTAGCCTGTGTGTGACACAATCTCACCAGCCCATCTGTGTCTCCACCAGGCTTGTCTCGGCGCGTCCTGTTGACCAACGTCGTGACGGGACACCGGCAGTCCTTTGGGACCAGCAGTGACGTCTTGGCCCAGCAGTTTGCTCTCATGGTTGGTTGGATTGGGACAGGCAGAATAAAGTTTGCCCCAGGTGGAAATGTGGCAGATTGAAATTGGACTCCTCTGTGTGCCATCTAGTCCTCCTTGACAGGGAAAAAGAGCATCAGAAAGGATCAGTGGGTTCCTCTGTAAGTGTGTCTGAGCCGAGTGAAAGTTGGCTGATCCTGGAAGTCTGGCCTGAGTCACTCTAAAGAGCTTCTCGTGGAGAAGAATTGTGAGCAGTTTTTGGGTACTTGGATTTACCCACCAGGACAAACCATTTTTAAAATGTATACCCTAAATACCAATTCATACATACACAGCTCTCAAGTTACATATTTTATAAATTTAAAAAATCAGGCCAGGCACAGTGGCTCACGCCTATAATCCCAGCGCGTTGGGAGGCCAAGGTGGGTGCATCACGAGGTCAGGGTTTGAGACCAGCCTGGCAAACATGGTGAAACCCCCTCTCTACTAAAAATACAAAAATTGGGCCGGGCGCGGTGGCTCACGTCTGTAATCCCAGCACTTTGGGAGGCCGAGGCGAGTGGATCACGAAGTCAAGAGATCGAGACCATCCTGGTCAACATGGTGAAATCCCGTCTCTACTAAAAATAAATAAATTAGCTAGGCATGGTGGCACATGCCTGTAATCCCAGCTACGCAGGAGGCTGAGGCAGGAGAATCGCCTGAACCCAGGAGGTGGAGGTTGCGGTGAGCCGAGATGGTGTCATTGCACTCTAGCCTGGGTAACAAGAGCGAAACTGCGTCTCAAAAACAAAAAACTACAAAAATTAGATGGACACAGTGGCAGGCGCCTGTAATCCCAAGTACTTGGGAGGCTGAGACAGGAGAATTGCTTGAACCCGGGAGGTGGAGGTTGGAGTGAGCCGAGATCATGCCACTGCACTCCAGCCTGGGTGACAGAGCAAGACTCGGTCTCAAAAAAAAAAAAAAAAAAAAAATCAAAATTCTGGTTATTAATATAATTTAAAGACTTTCCTCTAGAAAATGCCATCTTTCCTTAAAAGTGAAGGAATCTGCTAACCTTTTTTTGGTGTAGACGGGGATGCCATCTCTGACTGGGACTTCAGAGAGAAAGGCCAAAGGGGAGAGTGCAGGGGGCAGCTCCTAGGACCTCCATGCTACCCATGAGGAGGACACATGGGGTCTGGTTCTTCTATCCACTAACAAGGAATCATCTTCCCTTCCAATTCCATTGAGACCCAAACCCTGACCAGCACGTGCCTAATCACGCCATCTGACCCAGGGGCTTGAAGAGGGGTTGTATCGGGAGGACCTGCCCTGCCCAGCCTCAGAGGGAGGTCATGATGGCCGCACACCGAGCAGTCCCTCTTTCCACAGACTCCTCTGCTGTTTAATGGCTGCCGCTCTGGGGAGATCTTTGCCATTGATCTGCGTTGTGGAAATCAAGGCAAGGGGTGGAAGGCCACTCGTCTGTTTCATGACTCAGCAGTGACCTCTGTGCGGATTGTCCAAGACGAGCAATGCCTGATGGCGTCAGACATGGCTGGAAAGGTAGGGGAACATGGAGCCCTGCCAGGTGAAGGGGTTCTGCTGAGGAGGTCCTCATACCAAGATCCCAGTCGGGAAGGTAGCTGAAGACCTAGGGATTTGTAAGCCCTACATGGGGACAGCTTTGCTGCCCATGTGAGCCTAATCTGGACTAGAGAAAAGTGAAAAGGAGTCTGTGGTTATGTGCCTTTTTTTTTTTTTTTTTTTTGGGACAGTTTCACTCTTCTTACCCAGGCTGGAGTGCAATGACCTAACCGCAACCTCCGCCTCCTGAGTTCAAGCGATTTGCCTTCCTAGAAGCTGGGATTATAGGTGTATGCCATCACGCCTGGCTTATGTTATGTTATGTTATGATTTATTTATTTATTTATTTGAGACAGAGTCTCGCTCTGTTGCCAGGCACCAGGCTGGAGTGCAGTGACACGATCTCGGCTCACTGCAGCCTGTCCCTACCCGGTTCAAGCAATTCTTTTGCCTCAGCCTCCCAAGTAGCTGGTACTACAGGCGCACACCACCACGCCCAGCCAAGTTTTGTATTTTTAGTAGAGATGGGGTTTCACCATGTTGGCCAGGATGGTCTCAATCTCTTGACCTTGTGATCCGCCCGCCTTGACCTCTCAAAGTGCTGGGATTACAGGTCTGAGCCACTGCGCCCAGCAGTTTTATATATTCAGTAGACTCGGGATTTCTCCAGTCTAGTCTCAAACTCCCTACTTCAGGTGATCTGCCCAACTCAGCCTCCCAGTGTTGGGATTACAGGTGTGAGCCACTGCGCCCAGCCTGGTTACGTGCTTTTGATGGACTTCAAGGCTCAGGAATTCAAGATGGATATCTTCATGACCCGCACAAACCACTGGAGACCATCTTGCCTTCCTGGCTTTACACTTGGGGTCCACTGATGGGTCCTCCTAGCCCCTCCCTGATGGCCCCTCGTGCTTCTTTCCACAGATCAAGCTGTGGGACCTGAGGACCACTAAGTGCATAAGGCAGTATAAAGGCCACGTGAACGAGTACGCCTACCTGCCCCTGCATGTGCATGAGGAAGAAGGAATCCTGATGGCAGGTACTTGAGGAAGGAAGGGGAAGTTCCATCCCATCAAATACTGTCTCTGAGGGACGATCCCAGCAAATTGGGCACCAGAGGGAAAAGTTACCCCAAAACAGAAGTGAATCAAGGGGAGTATGGACAGTTTTGTGTCGGGACTAGGAGGGAAGTAGAATTGGATGTATTAGTAATCAGCAGTATAAATAAATGTCCACCAGGTGGACGGCCTCATCCCATGTCAGTGGGCAAACATCACTTCAGAAACAGGCAGGAGAGGTGCTAGGGAGCCTGGGTTTGGAGTTCAAGTCGATTTCATCAGACTAGCAATATCCCACCATCTATTATCTTATCCAGAAACCTGGCTCCCTGCTCTCTACTCACATTTCCACCAGAGGATGCTAAGAAGTTATGGTCATTATAAAGATTCTTGGCCCTGGCCAGGCATGGTGGCACACACCTGTAATCCCAGCACATTGGGAGGCTGAGGTGGACGGATCACAAGGTCAGGAGATCGAGACCATCCAGGCCAACCATCCAGGGTTTCAAATGGTGAAACCCCATTTCTACTACAAATACAAAAGTTAGGCCGGGTGCGGTGGCTCACGCCTATAATCCCAGCACTTTGGGAGGCTGAGGCGGGTGGATCCCAAGGTCAGGAGTTCGAGATCATCCTGGTCAACAAGGTGAAACCCCGTCTCTACTAAAAATACAAAAATTAGCTGGGCATGGTGGTGCGCGCCTGTACTCCCAGCTACTCGGGAGGCTGAGGCAGGAGAATTGCTTGAACCCAGGAGGCGGAGGTTGCAGTGAGTCGAGATCGTGCCATTGCACTTCAGGCTGGGTAACAACAGCAAAACTCTGTCTCAGACAAACAGAGAAAACAATGGAAATGTTAGCTGGGTGTGATGGCACGTGCCTATAATCCCAGCTACTCCAGAGGCTGAGGCAGGAGAATCGCTTGAACCAGGGAATCAGAGGTTGCAGTGAGCCAAGATTGTGCCACTGTAGTCCAGCCTGTCGACAGAGCGAGAAAGAATTCTTGGCCCCTTTACAACCATCTCTGTGGCTCCATGATCTGTAGATTAGGAGCAGCTATCCAGCTGCTCCTGGGAAGGAGTTACCAGTTGATTACATATGATACTGCCTATACATAATCAGACAGTGTGCAAGCTCAGGGTTTCACATTGAAGCAGAGCCCCTGACTGCAGACTATGTTCTCAGTCTTTGTGAGTCATCACCTTTACTGGTATTCATTTAGAAAGGGCTTATCCCCGTAGAACATTTTTGTGGCTAGGAAGCATCACTTTATGAGAACTTTCTTAGACGTATTTACTATTCTTATCACACCAGCACTTCGCTTCCTTTTTAAGTCGATTTTTCACCCATTTTGACCACAGAAGAGCTTCTGCAAGCTGGATGATAAAGAGAGCTCAGCCTTGCTGAGAAGCAGATGCAGGTAGTTGCCGGCTGCAGTAATAAACTACAGCCGGGATTCAGCTTCAGCCAAGGTAGTATTTCCGGTCTTAGAGTCACGCAAGTGGTCAAAATCACAAATGTGAAATCCATGGCTGCCCGAGGCCTGTCCTCTTCTCCTGCTGAAGGTCTCTAGTAGTGTGTGTCATGTTTCTGGGCTGCCGTAACCCATGGTGTTGTGTGTCACAGTTCTCGGAACTGGAGCCCTGAAGACTTAAACCGCTCTTCGGAACTGAACCATTAAACCAGAAAGAGCTCTGGGAAGAGTTGCTAACCTAGTCCATCTCCAGGATTTAATCAATTTGACAGGGCTTGTTACTATATCATGGAAAGGAAATCAGGCCAAGCATGGTAGCTGTAATTACAGCACTTAGGGGGCTTGAGGCCAGGTGTTTAAGACCAGCTGGGGCAACATAGCAAGACCCCATCTCAAAAAAAAAATTTGCCAGGCATGCTGGCACACACTCGTAGTCCCAGTGAACTCAGGAGGCTGAGGCAGAAGGATGTCTTGGGCCCACGAGTTCACGGCTGCAGGAAGCCCTGATCGCACCACTACATTCCAGCCTGGGCGACAGAGCAAGACCTTGTCTCTAAAAAATGGGGGAAATCAGTTGCATGTTACCTGGACCAGGTGGGCTGTGCCCACAGTTGAACATTCCTTGACATCAAGAGCAGCAGAATTGGCCAGGCATGGTGGCTCACGCCTGTAATCCCAGCACTTTGGGAGGCCGAGGCAGGTGGATCACGAGGTCGGGAGTTCGCGACCAGCCTGAACAACATGGTCAGACCCCCGTCTCTACTAAAAATACAAAAGTTAGCTGGGTGTGGTGGCTCATGCCTGTAATCCCAGCTACTCAGGAGGCTGAGGCAGGAGAATCACTTGAACCCCGGAGACGGAGGCTGCAGTGAGCCAAGATCACGCCACTGCACTCCAGCGTAGACCACAGAGCAAGACTGTCTCAGAACAAAAATGAGCAGCAGAATCCCCAGCCATTAGCCAGGATACCTCTGAGCCACTCATGGCGTCACGTAGCCAACCAGAACATCTTCTCATTGTTCTAGCCAAGTAGGGTGATTGCATTATCTGTAGAAATACTGTCCATTAATGAGTTTGTGTTACGGCTCACCTGAAATCACAGCCCTAAGGAACCTTGAGAAGCCACATCCGGATGTAGGTAAGTTTCCTTTGCAATCTCTCACTAGCCTGCCATGTGTCTTTCCTCTTTCCTAGTGGGCCAGGACTGCTACACGAGAATCTGGAGCCTCCATGATGCCCACCTACTCAGAACCATACCCTCCCCATACCCTGCCTCCAAGGCTGACATTCCCAGTGTGGCCTTCTCATCGAGGCTGGGGGGCTCCCGGGGTGCACCAGGGCTGCTCATGGCTGTCGGGCAGGACCTTTACTGCTATTCCTACAGCTAATTCTGCAGGGTGCAGCCCAGAGGCATGTGGGTTTGACCTGCGGGAGTCAAGAGTAGCTTTTAACTGCGTCTAATGAGGACATTTTCAGTGGCACTCAGTGTACACAGATCCCATCCTCTGGCTGCTAGGGGAAAAGTGCCGAATATTCCGTGTGGAGACACTCAGGAAAGTGATTTCAGTTCAATTACTGGCTCAGAGAGCCTGGAAGTCCTTTTCATAAAAGGAACTTATTTCCTTTTCTTGTTGAATTCTTAGAACTTAGTTAACCCTCCCTGCCTTTTCTTAACCAAAAAGACTTTTCTAAGGATGGAAGATTGGCCAAAACTGAAATTAAAGCTTCTTCCACCAAAAGCCCTTTGGAGAAGCCCAGTGATGAGACCGGTGAGATGGTTTGACTCGCCGGTGCCTGGTCCCAGGAAGACCTGCATCTGTACTTGGGGAAGCCAGCAGGAGAGGAGGGGAGGTTACTTCACTGAGCCTCTGCAGAAATATGGAAGGCTGGAGTTTGGAATCCTTGAACTTGGCCTTCTCAAATTCAACGGCAGATGACTGGGATTCTTCTGTTATTATCCAAAGGTGTGGGCAGGAAAGGCAGATCTTCTTACATACTGGAAGTTTTAAACAGTCTTTAGTATGCCTTTGTTGAGGTACCTTCCAGAATGTTAGAAACCAGCAGCTCTGGTTTCTATTATGGTGACTTGAACGTCAGATTTAGAAAGCCCAGTGTCAAGGAAAATTGGCTTTGACTTTGTAATCTAGGAGCAATGGTTTGTGAGATGTTTATTCCGTGTTAAAACGCCTGTTTTTCTACCAAACAATAAACCAAGAAAAGAATCATGGTGTGGCATGCGCTTCTGTTAATGACTTAGCAGATCATGAAGCCTGGGCTGCTGGGACCGGCTTTCGTAGTCTTGCTGGGGAGCTTCCCTGGGCCCCTCTGGACCCACTCTGCCCTCATCATCTCTCCATCTCTACTTTGCTCTGGACTCGCTCAGGATTCATGGCTCCCAGCAGCCAGGTAGGTTCAGCCAGTGGGAAGCAGCAGCAGGAACACACAGGGCAACAGGAGAGGGAGGGGATCACTGGTTCCCCGGCTTCCTTCTAGCTGGTCCGTGGGGACCTATAACCAAAGACCACTGCTTCTATTGGAAAGCACTCAGAGCTGGGTTCCAACAACTGCTCTCCATTTGTCCCTTCAGACGTACACCTGGTCCTCACACCTCACTGTTGCCAGCCCTAGGATGCCTCACTAGGCAGACTCAGTTACCCACCTGAATGTTCCATACGTTTCCTGCCAGTACCCTGACTAATACAATGTATTCTATAGAGAACCAATTTTTTTTTTTGAGACCGAGTTTTGCTCTCGTTGCCCAGGTTGGAGTTCAATGGCCATATATCCACTCACTACAACCTTCGCCTCCCGGGTTCAACCAAGTCTTCTACCTCAGCCTCCCTAGTATCTGGGCCTGGCTAATTTTGTATTTTTAGTAGAAACAGGGTTTCTCCATGTTGGTCAGACTTGTCTGGAACTCCCCACCTCAGGTGATCTACCCTCCTCTGCCTCCCAAAGTGCTGAGACTATAGGCGTGAGCCACCACACCCAGCAATTTTTTTTTTTTTGAGGCAGAGTCTTCTGTTACCCTGGCTGAAGTGCAGTGGCATGATTTTCGCTTACTGCAACCTCCACCTTCCATGTTCAAGCCATCCTTCCACTTCAGCCTCTTGAGTAGCTGGGACTACAGGCATGAGCCACCACACCCAGCATGGACTCCTGTAATTTTATGACAGAAGGAACCAGAGTCTGGGGAGGGAAAAAGGAATAACCTGAGTTTTGAAAATAATATGATGTACACATTTTAAAAAGGTTTAATTTTCTTTGTTGAGACAGAGTCCCACTCTGTCACCCTGGCTGCAAGTGCAGTGGCACAATCACAGCTCCAAATGCAGCTTGGCCAAAATGTGAAACCCCGTCTCTACTAAAAATATTCAAAAGCCGGGCATGGTGGCACATGCCTGTAATCCCAGCTATTCATGAGGCTGAGGCAGGAGAAGCGCTTGTACCCAGGAGGTGGAGGTTGCAGTGATCCAAGATGGCAACATTGCACTCCAGCCTAGGAATAGTGAGACCCTGTCTCAAGAAACAAAACTCACAGCAACACTCCTTTTACTAATGGGGAAACCGAGGCCCAGAAAAGCTGTGTAATTGGCCCATTAATGGTTAAGCTGGAGTTAGAACCCAGCCTGTCTGGAAGCAGAGACAGAGCCTTCAGCTGCTAAGCTCCACTGCCCCTGCCTAAGGGCCAATAGGTTTTCTTGATTTGTTTCGCTTTTTCTTTTCTTTTGTTTTCTTTTGTGACAGAGTTTCCCTCTTGTTATCCAGACTGGAGTGTAATGGCACAATCTCGGCTCACTGCAACCTCCACCTCCTGCTTCAAGTGATTCTTCTGCCTCAGGCTCCTGAGTGGCTGGGACTACAAGTGTGCACCACCACGCCCAGCTAATTTTTGCATTTTTAGTAGAGACGGGGTTTCACTATGTTGACCAGGTCTCAATCTCTTGACTTGGTGATCTGCCCACCTCGACCTCCCAAAGTGCTGGGATTGCAGGCGTGAGCCGCTGCACCTGGCCTTTTTTGTATTTTTAGTAGAGATGGGGTTTTGCCATGTTGGTTAGGCTGGTCTTGAACTCCCGACCTCAGGTGATCCGCCCGCTTCAGTCTCCAAAACTGCTCTGATTACAGGCCTGAGCCACAATACCTGGCCCAGTTCTTAAACATGTTTAACCTATCTGCCCCAGTTACCTATGGGTCTGACCTCTTCCCTCTCCCCGCAGCAAACTCCAGGGCAGATTGCACTGTGCCCCCCTCAGCATTGTGGCTGACAGTCTTCTATATTCCTTTCCCCACTTTCAGGATCATGGCGGTACAGGAAGGGATAGCTAGAGAGTAGATTACATGCACAACTTTGGGCAAGGACAGATACCTCCACAGGAGAAATTGGACCGGGACAGGCAAGTGCTGCCTCCATTTCAAGCCTCATCGTGGTTCTTCGGCCATAATGAAGCCTGGCTGAGGGCAAGATGCCAAGGGACGACATCCTTTCAGCTTCTCTTCACACACACGAGCAGATGGTGCCACGGTGCTCCCTAATACGAGTTAATAAGAACCTACTGTTGGTCAGGCCCCCTGAATTTTTCTTTTTTTTTTGAGACATGGTCTCAACCTTTTCCCCAGCCTGGATTGCATGAATTGCAGTAGCACAATTCCTACTCACTGCAGTCTTGACCTCCTGGGCTTGAGCAATCCTCCCACCTCAGCCTCCTGATAAGCTGGGCCAACAGGTGTGCACCGCTACACTCAGTTAATTGTTTATTTTTTGTAGAGATGGGGTTTCCCTATGTTGCCCAGGTTGGTCTTGAACTCCTAGGCTCCAGTGATCTGGCCTCGGCTCTGGAAGTGCTGGCATTACAGATATGAGCCATTTGTGAGGCACTTTTCACCCTCACACTAACCCCATGGCACAGCTGGGGAAACAAGTGTCTTGAGTTAAAGTGATTTGGCAAGAAGGGCTGACCTGGAATTAAGATTCGCTCTTCCTAGTAGGGCATGGTGGCTCACGCCTGTAATCCCAACACTTGGGAAGGCTGAGGTGGGCGGATCACCAGAGGTCGGGAGTTCGAGACCAACTTGGCCAACATGGCGAAACCCCGTCTCTACTAAAAATACAAAAATTAGCCAGGTGTGGTGGAGGGCACCTGTGATCTCAAGTACACAAGAAGCTGAGGCAGGAGGATCACTTGAACCTGGGAGGCAGAGGTTGCAGTGAGCTGAGATCGTACCACTGCACATTCCAGCCTGGGCAACAGAGCAAAGCTCCGTCTCAACAACAACAACAACAACAAAAAGATTCTATTCTTCCCAACTCTGAAGCCCCTGCTCCCCTCACGGCGGCATCCTGCACTTTTTCCAGGCCCAGGTTAACAACAACGGGGAAGAGGTGAGAGATTTTTCTAACAGGGTAAACCCTCCTCCCCGCCCAACTCCACCCTCCTGGGCTGCTCTTCTAGTCACATGATCCTTTGCCCCATTTGACCCAGTTGATCTTGAGCTCATCCACTTTTTCCACATGGCTCAGAGGCAAGGGTGACATTTTTCTCATTTATTGTGGGAGAAAAGCAAGCTCTGCCAAGCCCAGAGTTTCTGGTCTCTCCTGTCCCAACACAAACCATTCATTCACAGTCTTCCTGCAATTATTCCTGGTGCTGGGTTTTATTTCTAGGAAGCCTTCTGTCCCTCAGCCTCACCAGCCCTTTGCTTTTCAGCCTAGAAGCTCAGGCCATTTGAGGTTTGCATGTTCGGCTGTGGGCATGGGGAATGCAGTGACTACACCTGGTTGGCATCCCATACCACAGCCCGGGTAGTGGGGAGGCCAAGAAGTGGGCTGAATACAGGCTCAGGCCTCTCTCTCCTTGCCCCCAAAGGCATTCTCTCCAGCAGGTGACTGGGCGTGACCACTGCAGTGCTGGTCTGAAACCAGTCAGTGGGTTCAATGGGAGGGTCGGCTGCCGCCGGAACACCCCAGCCCTCTGTCGGAGCACGTCCGTCTTTGGCGAGGTCACCCACTTCTCTCTGTTCTAAGAGCATCTCTTCCCTTCATAGCCCTCAACCTGAATTTCTAAGACAGATGTTTAGATGAACTCTCAATGGTAGCTTACATTTTAAAAATGTATTTGTATCTCCAAGGGTGCTGTTTCCTCCCTGAGATTGGAGCAAGGAGCCAGCTCTACCCTCAGCTTCTGTTCCCCCTGGAGAGGAGGTGAGAAGAGGAAGGGCTTCTCAGGCCTCCGCCCTTGCACTCCATACCAAGGAGTGCCAGGTTTGAAAGGAGAGGCTTCAGTTCCCCCCTGCTAGGGGGATACCAAGGAGCCACATTACTCAACCTCAATAAAGCACTTCCACAGTTATCAGCAGGGCCCCAGGTCATCGCTGGCTATTTCCATCAAGTACAGAGCAAAGGCCAAGCTTACACCTGCAATCCTAGCACTTTGGGAGGCCGAGATGGGAGGATTGCTTGAGCTCAGCCTGGTGGATCATTTGAGACCAGCCTGGGCAACACAAGGAAACCCCGTCTTTACAAGACACACACACACATACAGAAAAAGAGAGTGTGTGTGTCTCTGTTAGGCCAGGGTGAAGTGCAGTGGTGTGATCTCGCCTTACCGCAACCTCTGCTTCCTGGGGTTCAAGTAGTTTTCCTTCCTCACTCCCTACTAGCTGGGATTACAGGTGCCTGACACCACACACAGCTAATTTTTTTGTATTTCTAGTGGAGATGGGGTTTCACCACATTGGACAGGCTGGTTTCGAACTCCTGACCTCTCCTCGGCCTCCCAAAGTGCTGGGATTACAGGTGTGAGCCACCATGTCCAGCTCAGGATGTCCTTTTTCAAGTATTTCCTCTCAGTTTATTAGTGCCCAAGGGAAAAGCCAAAGCAGGTGATAGATAATAAAGAAGGTGGGGCTTTAGAACACATAGCGTGTCAGAACTCTAGTGTGAGTGGAACGTGATCTATTGAGTCACCATAAGTAGCCCAGAAAGGAGCTCCTGATAGGTGAAGGGGGTATAGCTCAGTGGAAGAGCATTTGACTGCAGATCAGGAGGTCCCTGGTTCAAATCCAGGTGAGGCCTTTGACTGCAGATCAAGAGGTCCCCGGTTCAAATCCGGGTGCCCCCTTCCCGGGTGTTTTCTCACTGCCGTTTATTTTCTATTTTTAATTTTATTTATTTATTTATTTTTGAGACAGAGTATCGCTGTTGTTACCCAGAGTGGAGTGCAATGGCGCGATCTCACCTCACCGCGACCTCCGCCTCCTGGGTTCAGGCAATTCTCCCGCCTCAGCCTCCTGAGTAGCTGGGACTACATGCATGCGCCACCAGGCCCAGCTAATTTTTCTATTTTTAGTAGAGACGGGGTTTCACCATGTTGACCAGGATGGTCTCGATCTCTTGACCTCGTGATCCACCCACCTCGGCCTCCTAAAGTGCTGGGATTATAGGCGTGAGCCACAGCACCCGGCCTCTCACTTCCATTTAAAAGGAAATGCTGTGACTCACAGTGTCACCACAAAAGATTAAGGAACTTTTAACGTTCCTCCCATGTTCCAGCTGACCACTAGGACAAAAAGCCCCTTTAGGACCTCCTTTGTCTTCAATTAAGACCAAGTCCTAGCCAGGCATGGTGGCTCATGCCTGTAATCCAAGCACTTTGGGCGGGCAAAGCAGGGGATCCTCAGGTCAGCAGATCAAGACCATCCTGGCCAGCATGGTGAAACTCCAACTCTACTAAGAATACAAAAAAAAAAAAAAGAAAATTAAATCTCTGAGGAAATTCTAAATCTGTAAGTCTGAGAGCTGTGAATGCAATTTGGCTATCAGGTATATGTCAGTGTATATATAAAAATGTTTCACCGGGCGCCGTGGCTCACGCCTGTAATCCCAGCATTTTGGGAGGCCGAGGCGAGCAGATCACAAGGTCAAGAGATTCAGACCATCGTGGTCAACATGGTGAAACCCCATCTCTACTAAAAATACAAAAATTCACCGGGTGTGGTTGGTGCACTGTAATCCCAGCTACTTGGGAGGCTGTGGCAGAACTGCTTGAACCCAGGAGGCGGAGGCTGCAGTGAGATGAGATCATGCCACTGTACTCAAGCCTGGGTGACAGAGACTCCAGGCACAATGGCTCATGCCTGTAATCCCAGCATTTTGGGAGGCCAAGGCAGGCAGACCACGAGGTGAAGAGATCGAGACCATCTGGCTAAAATAGTGAAATCCCATCTCTACAAAAATACAAAAATTAGCTAAGCGTGCTGGCGCCCACCTGTAGTTCCAACTACTCAGGATGCTGAGGCAGGAGAATTGCTTGAACCTGGGAGGTGGAGCTTGCAGTGAGCCAAGATCGTGCCACTGTACTCCAGCCTGGCACCTGGTGACAGAACCAGACTGTCTCAAAGAAAGGCACAAACTCTTTGATGACATCCTTTGCCGTGGTCCTTCACCGCTACACAATTACAACCACTTTACAGGGTTTTCCCTCTGTCAGTTTTACTGTGGCCCATCCCTTCCCATAGTTTCTTGTTATCAACCTTAATTAGGGTGATCTGGTGTTCAGCACCAAGGGCCTTCACCAGCCACATAGGCAGGCTCATCGCAGTTGGGGGCAGCACACAAGGATGGGCCCAGTGCTTGTCTAAGATTTGACAGCTTCTTGAATTCCACGTGCCAAGCTATCGTGGATGAGGGTGGGCCTTCAGGACCTCTTGTAAAGCAGTATTAAGGTCCTTGACACCTCCAGCAGTCATGCTTTCCTGGGCCTTGCAGCAGGTTACGGGTGAAGCTGATTCTTGAACTCACCTGAGCCTCTGCCTCCACTACTCAGTGGCGGTGGGGAAAGAGCAGAAGCTTGTTTTTCATTAACAGTCACTGCACCTAAAATGTGCTCTAGGTTCCTTGAAAAAGGGTTAAACTTGGCCAAGAAGTTGATAAAGCATTTCAACCAGTTTGCTTGTTACCAATAATGTCATAAAAAGTAATATATCATCATCTCCAAGTATTTTTCCTTTTTTTTGGACAAGGTCTCACTCTGTTGCCCAGGCTAGAGTACAGCGGGTGTGATCTTGGCTCACTGCAGTGGCAGCCTTCACCTCCCAGGCTCAAACAGTCCTCCCACCTCAGCCTCCTGAGTAGCTGGGATTACAGGTGTGTACCACCTCACCTGGCTTTTGAGGTTAAATGGTTTCTTTTTATGTAGAGATGGGATTTTGCCATGTTGCTCCGGTTTGTCTAGAACTCACTTTGGCCTCCCAAAGCACTGGGATTACAGGTGTGTGCCTGGCCTTGAAGGGTTTTCATTTTGCCCTACTCCCCAGGTGACAATAAAGAGAGCGAATGGGCAGGTGATTGTGACAGCAGCACTGAGCTGTGATAGACCCCTTGCTAACTAGCCCGGTGTCTGCCTGCTTATAGCCTTCTAGAGATGACGATCAATGGCACACACTGGTTACCAAAAATGCCCACAAATACTGGCCAGGTGAGGTGACTCATGCCTGTAATCCCAGCGCTTTGGAAGGCCAGGGTGGGCAGATCACTAGAGGTCAGGATTCCTGGCCAACATGGTGAAACCCCGTCTCTACTGAAAATACAGAAATTAAAATACGGGAAGAAAGAGAGCAGTTAGACGTGCTCAGATTTTGTACAGTAACTAAAACATCCTATTCATGATAAGAATTACAGATTACGACTGTAGGTTCCATTGTCTCTCCGTAATAATGGTAGGGCTGAAGTACTAAATGCAAATATAACTGCAACATTAGCATTCAATCAATTATTATTATTATTTTTGAGATGGAGTTTCACTGTTGTTACCCAGATTGGAGTGCAATGGCACCATCTCGGCTTACTGCAACCTCCACCTTCTGGGTTCAAGCAATGCTCCGGTCTCAGCCTTCCGAATAACTGGGACTGCAGGCGTGCACCACCATGCCCAGCTAATATTTGTATTTTTTAGTAGAGACGGGGTTTCACCTTGTTGACCAGAATGGTCTCTATCTCTTGATCTTGTGATCCACTCACCTCGGCCTCCTAATATTTGTATTTTTTAGTAGAGATGGGGTTTCACCTTGTTGACCAGAATGGTCTCTATCTCTTGATCTTGTGATCCACCCACCTCGGCCTCCCAAAGTGCTGGGATTATAGGCGTGAGCCACCATTCCTGGCCCTATTCAAAATTTTTTTTAACAATTAGAAGCTGTCCAGGAGCAGTGGCTGACGCCTACAACTGTAATCCCAGCACATTGGGAGTCCAAGGCAGCAGATTGCTTGAGTCCAGGAGTTCAAGACCAGCGTGGGCAACATGGCAAAACCCCCTCTATAAAATTTTTTAAAATGCTGGAAGCTTAGTTCCTGTCATAGGCTAGATCAACTTGCTTAATCTTTGAGCCAGTGAGTCTTTGTGTGAATGATAAAGTTACTGTTAGTGCCAACGTGCTACTGCCCTTGGCCATGAGAACCTCTGAGCCAATGGAAATGATCAAAGCTAAGCTTCTGGACAACACTAGCAAGTACCTGGATTCTTAACTTTCCTCTTTCATTTTTGAGATAAAGTCTCACTCTGTCTCAGGCTGGAGTGCACTGGCGCAATCTCAGCTCACTGCAACCTTCACCTCTTGTGTTCAAGCAATTCTCTTACCTCAACTTCCATGCATGCCAGCACGCCCAGCTAATTTTTTTTGTAGTTTTAGGGGAGATGGGGTTTCTCCATGTTGGCCAGAATGGTCTTGCTCTCTTAACCTTGTGACCCACCCCACCTTTGCCTCCCAAAGTGCTGGGTTAACAAGCGTGAGCTGCCACATCTGACCAATTCTTAACTTTCCACTTAAGGAAAAGCTACTGACCTTTCCTGGAAATATAAAAGAATCCACAAGCTGTGAAGGGGAAGGAAAACGGGGAGAAGCTCTACAGTGTGATGGTGGTAGAAAGGGTCCAAACCTGCCGGGACTCAGGCCAGCTGGGAGTGTGCCCAGCCACGCTGGGCTTTTGATCCTCTAGGAGTCAGCATCGTAGGCTATCAGATGAGAACACTACTGCACACCTTCCAGTGTGGTTGTGAGAATTAACCATGTGAGGCTTCCAGCATAGCACCAGGCACGTAAATATTAGTTCTCTTTGCTATTTGAGTTTCCACATAAATCAGCAGTTAAATCCTAGGGATGTGTAAGGATCCCACTGGGTCTCAGGAGACCATGTCATTCTCAGCCCCAAGTTGCCACCTCCAGTCACAGCCCTCAAGGATATGGTCAACCACTGCCTCTACCTACGAGCAAGTCTTTTAAACCAGAGAGTGATCAAAGGCCTTTACGTGGCATCGCCTAAAAATAGAGGGGACTGAACTCTGTTACTACATGTCAGGACAGTGGTTACTCCTGGTGCAGGGAGGGACCGGGAGTTCTTGGAGGACTCTTACCATGTTCTGTCTCTTAATCTGGGTGCTGATTGATTATGCAGTATTCAGTTTGAGAAAATCAAGCTTAAATTTAGGTGTATAAAATATAATAGTTTAATAGGTTTGGGTTATTTCTTTTTCTTTTTTTTGTTTCTTGAGACAGTCTCACTATGTTGCCCACGCTGGAGTGCACTGGTGTGATCTCGGCTCACTGCAACCTCTGCTTCCCGCGTTCAAGTGATGCTCCGGCCTCAGTCTCCAAGTACCTGGGATTACAGGCACCTATGCCTGGCAAATTTTTGTATTTTTAGTAGAGACGGAGTTTCACTGTCTTGACCAGGCCGGTCTTGAACTGCTGACCTCATGATCCACCCGCTTTGGCCTCCCAAAGTGCTGGGATTACAGGCATGAGCCACTGCGCCCAGCCTATAGGTTTTTGTTGTTGAGACAGGGTCTCACTCTGTCACCCAGGCTGGAGTAGAGTGGCGTCTCCCAGGCTCAAGCAATCCTACCTCGGCCTCCCAAATAAATGGAATTCCAGGCGTGTACTGCCACACCCAGCTTTTTGGGGTGTTTTTGTTTTCTTGGTAGAGACCGGGTTGGCTCGCCACATGGCCCAGGCTAGTCTCGAACTCCTGGGCTTAAGTGATCTGCCCACCTTGGCCTCCCAAAGTGCTGGGATTACAGGCATGAGTAACCAGGCCTAGCCAAGAATATGTATTTTAAATCCAGAGACTGAAAATCAGGAGGTAATACCCCATTTCTTATCTACCATATGAGAGGATTCCTCAACAGACCTTGACCCAATAGCTGCTAGAGTGAAACCTGGAGAATTCAGACTATGAAAACACTACTGCTGAGCCCAGCTCAGCCAATGCCACAGCTCCTCCGACCCCAGCTGCAGAAAGGCCTGAGGAACAGCTCTAAGTACAGGATAAGTGATGAGTGAGAACATGGGGGCCCTCTAGTCACTAGAGAGAATTCTGTGACCATCAGCTACTGCCTTCTCTGAACAAAGGAGTATTAATAATAGCCACAGAGCCCTGGCCTAGTCAGCACACTCATCTGGGGGGGCCGTGCTATCTACGGAAGGGCTGGGGAAGCAGGCCGCGGTCAGGTCACACACATCCACTCCACAGGACAATGGCTTGGGAGTACCTGGCTACGGTTTTTAAATGTTCTTATTTGTCAAAGTAATAGACTGCAGTATTTGCAGGTAAAATATGACCACCCTAGAAACATGACCCTTACTTGGCTTCTGCTCTGAAGGCCACCATCAGCCAGAGAGGGACGGTGGCCAGAGGCACTGATGGAGTGAGAGGAAAAAGCCAGCAGAGTCGAGATGCAGGAAGGTTCCTTTATGACGGCAAATTTGATGGTACACGGTTCTACAGTAGGGCCTAGTCACTGGGCCCCAGGAGGCAGCAGGAGCAAATCTGAGAGGGACGACACACTCCAGGGCTCATGTCACACGGATACAGGCACCAGGAATGACCGCCCACGTACCTCCCTACAGCTCAACCTGCCCAGCAGTTCAGTCACGAATTCTGCTTCATACTTCATGTCTGGCCACCGAAGATCAAATCCACCACGATGATAGGGTTTCAGCACAACAGGCTCTTTCCAGTCACGACAGTCAGAGATGTCCCGGCTCTTGAGGTGAAACCACAGTTCCTTTCTCTTGCGAGGACCAAAGAGATAAATGTTTTCTTTATGATCTGTTGAAATATGTATATAGACTTTAAAAAAACAACTAACAGTTAGTCCATTCTGTGCTCTATTTCCCTGGAAGGTTTCTCGTGATCGCCCCTCCGAGAGCTAGAGGGGTTGTGTGTCTGGGAACAAAGAATTAAGACACTTTAAAATCAGCAATGAGAATTTTAGTGAGACACTCAGAAGCGGAGGGTGGCCTGGAGGGGGTCGGGGGGTGGGAGGCGGGTGCTGCGACTGAGGAGCTGGGTGCCGCCTTTTGTGAAAGCCAAGTGGAGACAGAAGCATCGGGGCAGGAAGCTCTGCCAGGGAAGGCCCAGTTTCTTCCTTGCTCTTCCCTGGGGAATGAAGGACAGCACAGCCCCCGCCTTTTCTTTTTTTTTTTTTGACAGATAAACAGTTTTTTTATTCATCCTCCTCCTCCTCCTCCTCCTCTTCCTCCTCGTTGTCTTCATCTTCCTCTTCCACTTTTTTCCGGGCAACATTAGCAGGACCCTTTGCACCATCAAACTTTCCTTTCAACTTATAGTCAGCAACATCCTTCTCATACTTCTCCTTCAGCTTTGCCGCCTTAGTGATGTAAGGCTGCTTTTCACTGTCATTTAGGTTATTCCACATCTCACCCAGCTTTTTTGCCACATCTCCAATAGAGATGCCAGGGTTTGTGGATTTGATCTTGGGGCGGAATTCTGAGCAGAACAGGAAGAAGCCAGACGGTGGCCTTTTGGGGGCATTAGGATCCTTCTTCTTCTTGCCTCCCTTAGCTGGTCCATAATCCTTCATTTCCCGATCATAGCGCACTTTATCCGCCTTTTCCATTTCATCAAATTTAGATTTCTCTTTCCCGGACATTGTCTTCCACCTCTCAGAGCATTTCTTGGAAAATTCTGCAAAATTGACAGGGACCTCTGGGTTTTTCTTCTTATGTTCTTCTCTGCACGTCTGGACAAAGAAGGCATAAGCAGACATCTTGCCCTTTGGTTTCTTGGGGTCACCTTTAGCCATCCTGACTGTATTGTTTCGGCCCCCGCCTTTTCACTTCTCAGGGCTGAAGACCCGACCTCTGACCCTCCACCCACTCCGGTGACCTGCACGCTAAGTTGGGTGGTCTCTGACAAACAGGCTTAAGCCAAGAATTGGGATTGGACTCCCAGAAGACCCAGGTAGAATTCCCTTCAGGCCGTTTCAGGCAGCAAGGACCTGGGAGGCTCACTCCCCAGGCAGCTGAGAGGTGTGGAGGGAAGAGCCAGGGACAGTAGAGGCTTCCAGGGCTCCAAGATCAGCAGTGGAAGGCGCCAGCCACGTGGTGGCCATGAGTGTGGCTCGGCTCTGTGAGGAAGACCTGCTGCCGCTGCCACCTCATCCTGTGCTGGGGAGACCGTGCGAAGTCTCCGCAGCCAGCAGCAGCCTCGATACACCCCGAGTTCCTTTCATATGTATATATGGAGAGATGTATATACACATATATATTGATTGTTATTAACTGAAATAAATGCAACGGATCAGGTTCATTCCCCTCTGCTAAGAGTTGCTTGGTCCTCTGTCGTGAGGGGTTCTTGCCTTCGGGCCGGCCGCCAGGCTCACCCCCGCTGAGGGCAAGTGGCCCTGGGATGAGGAAAGGACAGGACACACACCACAGCAGGTGACCGGGAGGAAGGCCTACCTCGAGAGACTGTTTCTAACCCTGAGAACCTAAGGAATTGTGAAGGACTCGGACAGGGGCCTGGGGTTAAAGGTCACCAGGCTTTTTATTGCAATTGAAGCAGACTCGGACGGGATGGTCCCAGCCACGAGAAGGGACAGCCCGGCGGTCATGGGAGCACTCGTCACAGAAGCCCTGTCCGCAGGTCCGGCAGTGGTGCTTGGACAGCTTGATGCTGAACTCCTTCCGGCAATTGTGGCAGTGCAGGATTTCGTGGTCAGGCACCCAGTACGCAGGCCTGGCCGCATCCTTTACCAGACCTATGGCAGGGAACAATGGTCAGGACACCCAAAACCCAACACCCCAACTTCCAACTGGCAAGAGGGCATCCTCAGATGCTTACTGGCTTGTAATTCCAACTGCATACAGAACTGCTTACAGAGCTTTTTAAAAATGCAGATGCCCAGGCTCCACCAGATCAGTCTTTCAGACTGGAGCATAGGCACTGATTTTCCCTTTTCTTTTTTCTTTCTTTTATTTGGAGAGAGTCTCACTCTGTCCCCCAGGTTGGAGTACAGTAGCATGATTTCAGCTCACCACGACCTCAGCCTCCAAGGTTCAGGCAGTCCTCCTACTTCAGCCCAAGTGGCTGGGACTACAGGCATGCACAACCACACCTGGCTAATTTTTGTAAAGATGGTTTTTCATCATGTTGGCCAGGCTGGTGGTCTCAAATTCCTGGCCTCAAGTGATCCACCTGCCTTGGCTTCCCAAAGTGCTGGGATTCTAGGCATGAGCCACCATGCCCAGCCTTTCTTTTTCTTTTGAGACAGGGTCTCACTCTGTTGACCAGGCTGGTCTCAAATTCCTGGGACAACTCCTGCCTGAGCCTCCCAAGTAGCTGGGATTACAAGCACGCACCCCCATTCCCAGCTCCTTGATATTCCCATCTATGAAGCTCTCCTTGTAAACTGAAAGGCGGCCATGTTAAGAACCCCTGGAGGAACTATAAAGACGTCTGGGCTCTGGAGTCAGACATTCTAATCCCTATTTTATGGAGAATGGGTTAATCATAAACTGCTGGATTAAGAAGGTTAAGCTAAAGCTGGGCACTGTGGCTCACACCTGTAATCCCAGCACGTTGGGAGGCCGAGGCAGGCAGATCACTTCAGGTCAGGAGTTCAAGAGCAGCCTGGCCAACATGGTGAAACCCTGTCTCTACTAAAAATACAAAAATTAGCTGGACATGGTGGCACATGACTGTAATCCCAGCTACTTGGGAGGCTGAGGCACGAGAATCACTTAAACCTGGGAGGTGGAGGTTGCAGTGAACCAAGATTGTACCACCGCACTCCGGTCTGGGCAATAGAGTGAGATTCAATCTAAAAAACAAAAATGAAAGAAAATAAATGGTAGCTAACCTCTCAGGGGCTTACTCATCTTTAACAATCCACCTTTAAGAGCTGTGATGAGGATGACAAGAAAGAACATGTCTGATACACTGGCCTGGGACTCTACACCTGTGGGCGCTCAGGATGAGAGCACTCAGTGAGCACAGCTTGCAGGCTATGCTCTGCTTCTGAGCCAAGGACAGTCCTTGCCTCTCCCAGGCACCCCTGAAGACAGATGCAAGCTGAGATTGAAGCCTGGGCAAATCCAGCAGTTCCTACATCATCTACTCTGTGAGCCCCAGTGAGGAAAGCTGCTGCAGGCCATTTTCATCACTACCTACTTCTGCTCACTCCCCTATAATCTGCTACGCTACCCCAGGCCTGGCCAGCCTTGCCTAAGCCCGCCACGCCCTGGGTGATTTCCTTCTCGCTTCCCCTCCCCATCCTGAATACATCCAAAGCTGGGTTGCTATGTTAAATCTTAAACTACTAACAGTTTGGCTGGTGTGACAGATTAAAGGCAGTGTAGACTCTCTGGCTCACTTTCCATGTTTGACACTCCTGCCCCCTCCCTTGAATCTAGGCAGGCCCTGGACTGCGGCAGACTCCAGGAGATGACAGCAGGGGTGCCTGCCTGCAATCCTAGGCCTTAAGAGATGGGAACATTTAGCTGGGCACCTTCAGCTGGGCGCAGTAGCTCATGCCTGTAATCCCAGCACTTTGGGAGGCCAAAGAAGGTGGATCACCTGAGGTCAGAAGTTCAAGACAAGCCTGGACAACATAGTGAAACCCCATCTCTACCAAAAATACAAAAATTAGCTGGGCCTGGTGGCACTTGTCTGATCCCAGCTACTCAGGAGGCTAAGGTAGGAGAATTGCTTGATCCCGGGAAGCAGAACTTGCAATGAGCTGAGATTGCACCCCTGCACTCTAGCCTGGGCGACACACTAAGATTTCATCTCAAAAAAAAAAAGAGAAAAAGAAACAGAGGGATGGGCAACTTCTACTTCCTGTCTCTTGGAACATTAGCTCCTGGAATCCTGACATCACTGAAGAAGTCCAGCTTCTTAAGTGCCAGAAAACCCACTGAAGAGGCCTGGAGAATACAGAGAGGGGACGAGGCTCTGCTCCACACAGCCTTCTCACGGTCCCTGCCAAGGCACCCGGCTTGTAAGTGAGGTCAGCTTGGAGTCTTGAGACCACTCCAGGCCCCACCCTGGATATCAGGTAGTAACTAGAGGAAATGCCGCTTGGAGCTAAATAATCATCCTTCCTGACTTCTAGATCTAGAAAGACATCCAAGATGCTTGTTTTCTTTTCTTTTCTTTTTTTTTTTTTTCTTTGAGACGGAGTTTCACTCTTGTTACCCAGGCTGAAGTACAATGGCGTGATTTCGGCTCACCGCAATCTCCGCATCCTGGGTTCAGGCAATTCTCCTGCCTCAGCCTCCTGAGTAGCTGGAATTACAGGCACACGGCACCGTGCCCAGCTAATTTTTGGTATTTTTAGTAAAGATGGGGTGTCACCGTGTTGACCAGAATGGTCTCGATCTCTTAACCTCAGAATCCGCCCACCTCGGCCACCCAAAGTGCTGGGATTATAGGCGTCAGCCACCGCGCCTGGCCAATGTATTTTTTTTGAGATGGAGTTTCCCTCTGTATGTAATCCAAGCTGGAGTGCGGTGGCGTGATCTTGGCTCTCTGCAACCTCCACCTCGCGAGTTCAAGCGATTCTCCTGCCTCAGCCTCCTTAATAGCTGGGATTACAAGGCCCAGGCCACCACACCCGACTCAAGATGGTTGTTTTAAGCCTTTATGGTTTAAGGTAGCTTGTTATACAGCACTAGATGCTGTGAGAGAATACCTTCAGAAATAAACATGAAACTACTAAGGCATTCAGCAGAAGCAAGCAAATGGCGATTTGTAATTGATTCCTTACCGCCTATCTCTATGTAGGTTGGCAAGCCTTTACGAAGTGGCAGCCCTGGGCACCCGAAACCCCTCAACCCAGATCCTCTACACCCAAGAGAAGCACCGCCAGGCCCACCTAGTGGTATGTCAATGGCTGTTACAACAGCACCCAGAGTGTTCTGCACGGCCTCGCCCACCTTCCGAGCGATGAGCGTTCCGCCTTCATCGTCCACCTGTGCCTCAGTAACATCTGTAGGCAATAATGAGGGAAAAGCTGTCACCTCTAAGTCCTCTCCCAAATGCAAAACTCAGAAGCAACAGCAGAATGCTTCTGGATTTTGAACCCAAACACCACCGTGCTGTCCAGCAACCACTGCAAAGGTCTGCGCTGCAGGTCAGGGTGGCCCAGACCCTGAAATTCGATGACATCTGTCAGTCCTTTATCTGCAACCTTCTGGGGCTCCTTTATAACTTTCTTTAAGGCAGAAAGGTTCTAGGAGCAAAAACTAGTACCTTCTCAAAGGAGAAGACTGAACCAGAACCTTCTCAAAGGAGCAGCCTTTTCAGAACTCAGCTATGTGTGTATTCCCTTCCCCAGAAGCACCTCTGCAGCTAAGAAAGCAGGACAGGCTCCAGCCCCGAGGAACAGCACCCATGGGACGCTGTAAACAAGGAGCTTAGAGCCTGACTGGCCAAGACCCGAGGTAAGTGCTCTCACAAGGAAGATGTGGTTAGGAGCGGGACTTGGGGCATCTGGGCATCCAGTTCCCAGTGCCAAGGAGGGAGGGTCTCCCCGCCACCCCTGCAACTCCCGGGCCCCACGTTACCTAACTGGATATTCCTGGCTTCATAGCAGTTGTCGCACACCCGCACCGGGGCAGGGCCCCAGCCCCGCTCAGGCACTGGCCGGGTCTTTGATGAAGAGCTGTCACAGAAGCCCTCCCCACAGGCTCGGCAGTGATGCTTCGTGTCGTTATCTTTAAAGGACGTCGCACACTTGTTGCAGCTCTGTTCCAAGCCCAAAACAAAACAGAGAGGCAGGTAGGTTATGGCACATGTCTGCTCAGCTGAGAAGTCGACCAGAGCTGGAGCAACCAGAAACTAAGGCACGTGGTGTTAGCTCAAGCAGGACAAAACTTTCTAGTAAGAGTTATCTGAGAGTGGAAAGGAAGCCTGGTGGGCAGCCAGTGTCCTTTCACTAAGTGTCTGGGTTCAAGCTGGGTGCTCTCTTGCTCTGGGTGCTGTCGCATTAATGGATCAAGCTGAGGCTGACCCTAAATAACCTTTAAAGGCTCCTTTTCCCCAGATTCTGTATCTGCATCCTCACACATCTAAGCAATATTAATTGGCTGCCACAGACAAGGAAACCATAAGCCAAGAGAGAAAATACTTGCAGGAAAACACGACGGGAAATCAGTGGGCAAAGAGGAAACTGGCCTTCTCAATGACTCCTACCCTTCCCAGTACTCACAGAGCTCAATGCACCGGCAGAAACGTTTGCGTCTCCCTCACAGAGCAAGCTTCGCACAGGGCAAAGCAGCGTTAAGCCGGATGGGCTGTGCCAGGGTGTAAGGGTACCGTGCCACACCATACCAGAATCTGGGAGTTGGGCCTCCAGTAGGCAGGGGCAATCTGGTCTGTCAGCCAGGAAGTCACAGCCTTGGTGGGTCCAAGGCTAAGCTCGGACACCGACTGAGCCATGAAGTTCATGCCGTCCAACAGGCGCTGGGCAGCGTTGTTATTGTCCTTCAGAAACCCGTCGGTCTGAAATGAAAGTGCAGGCTTCCATCATGCTGAGAAGGGAGTGAAAGGAAGGAGGAAGAGGGATGTCTGGTGAGTTACAAACTCACTGTGGCCAACTCAGAACCATTAACTCCCTGGCAGGGAAAAATGCACACGGACCAAGATCCCTCTGGCTTTATTGTCTTCAAAGCGACCATAAGACTTGACATGCAGCTGTTTCATTCAGGACTTACTAAGACCATATAATACAGGAGGTGACACCTCTTCCAGGAGGCCCCCCACCACAGGCTGAGTTAAGAATATTTCCTCTTAGTTCTTCCACTACTTCGACATCTCTAGGAATCCTATTTCTGTGTGTCTAAATACAATCTCCATGTGTGGATCTGACTCCTTATCAAACTCTGAACTCCCTGACAATAACTCTTTTGCATTTTTGTATTTTGTAAAGTAACCAGCTCAATTCTGGGCACAAGGTACATAACAATGTCCGTTGAAATGTAAAAGGGAGAAAGGGAGGGAGGGAGGAGTAAACACACAGCAGGGAAGGCATCTGTATTCTCCTCATTTCAAGTGCTGTGAGGAGTGCGACCTGAGAGTACTCTGCTGCAGTACTGTTTTCCTGGAATATAATCTAACCACCTTGCCTTTCTCACTCTAAGACCACGTGAAATTCTTGGGACAAGATGGCATAAACCATTACGCCAAGGAGGTGGGCTCCAATAATGGGACTACCATACAATAACAAATTTCAGTGGGCCTGAAAATTGGGAAAAAAGAGGAAACAATAAGGAAATCTCCAGTTTTATGGTACCTAAAAATCCAGGAAAACTCCGAAGGGACCTGCAGGTAGGAGTCCTAGGCTGAATGGTGGCTTGAGGAATCACCAAACAAGGACAATGACACAGAGTAAAATGATTCCCTCAGTGAAAAATCACTTGTCTTTTTTCCGTGAAAGGAGAAAGTTTTGGATTTGTTGTGATTTGTGGACAACGCTGAGTGTGCGCACTGATTTAATGCGGAATGGAGGCGTGATGTCACGCCCTCCAAAGTCAGAGTAAGAATCACTGAGGGGCTATGGGATCCCACTTCCTAGAATAAGCGCCAAGAAAATTTCCTAAAACAAAAAATGGCTTTCTTACACAAACATAGTCACTAGCATTTTAATGGTTTTTTTCAAAAGGTAGAAATAAAACTAAATAAAATAGTATTATGAGAAAAAAAAAAGGCAGGAAAAAGGCATGTAAATTATCTGCATCTATAAAAACATATATAGAAAATGAATGAGTAGAATTTGGAAAATATTTTATTGGCCAAAAGAGTAAACTAGATTTTTATTGCATTTCATTTAAAGTTGTTCTTTCTTCATTTATTTATTTATTTATTTATTTATTTAGTTAGTTAGTTAGTTAGTTAGTTAGTTAGTTAGTTATTATAGAGACTGGGTCACGCTTTGTTGCCCAGGCTGGAGGGCAGTGGCTATTCACAGGCACGATTTCCCCGTACTGATCAGTACATAAGTTCTGATGCGCTTCGTTTCTGATGTGGTCCAGTTCACCCCGCCTTAGGCAACCTGGTGGTCCCCTGTTCCCGGGAGCTCACCATATTGATGCCGAACTCAGTGGGACACCCGATCAGCATAGCGCACTACAACGCAGAACTCCTGGGCTCAAGTGATCCTCTCACCTCAGCCTCCTGAGTACCTGGGCCTACAGGAAGGTGTCACCGCACCTGGCTCCAGTTGTACTTCTAACATACATGCAAGAAGAAATAAAAACAACTAAAGGTCTAGAGACCAAAAAATCTCTGCAGATCATTTTTTTTCTAAACCACCAACATTCTGAAATTTACAGTTAACCTTAATTTTAAGCGAGTTCCAGTTTTCTACACACAAAAAACTGAACAACACAAGATAAAGGAAAACAGTTCGTACTCCAGGCCACACGTGAACAATCTCTGTCCGCACCACCGTATCCACAGGATCTTGGTTTCCAAACCAGTACTGCCGACTACGATAGACCACGCCACAGTTAGGACATTCGATCACATACCTACAAGGAAGGCAAATCAATACCGTTACCCAGCCAGCTGCCTGGGGAGACAAACACAACAGAAAACCTTTAGCTACATTGTTTAAACTCACCTAGACCAGGCATGTTTTGCGAGACCCATCCAGGGAGAGTCAGTGGAAGCAGATGTTTTGGGCACTACGCTGACTTCCTCGCCTCTCTCATAGCAGGCGTGAAACAGGGAACACTCTGCTAGCTTAGTTTTTGTCTTTTGGTTTTTTCTTCTTTAGTAGATATGGGGGTTTTACCATGTTGCCCAGGCTGGTCTCGAACTCCTGGGCTCAAGCCATCTGCCCGCCTCAGCCTCCCAAAGTGTTGGGCTGATAGATGTTAGCCGTCATGCCCAGCCTTCTGCTAGCTTTTCCTATGTACACCACACCCCCGACATCCATCCCGACTCTCCACAAACCATACCAGCTGAGAGTCTCAGATGGTGAGTTTAGCACCTCAGAAGAAAGGTCATTCCTCTAGAGAAGCCAGTGCCCCGAGTGGTAATGAACTGAGTGTGTGTCCATCCCAAGTCCCAAAACTGACCTTTAAATTATGTATCTGTCACAGAGAGGAGGACAATCCAAAACCAGTTTCCTAAAGAGCACGTCTGCTCTTAAGACTGAATGTTTGATGTAAATGACCCTTACATGCATACAAGCTCAACAAAACGAGAAAATAAGCTTAAAACAGTGAACAAAGGGACCCTCACCAATGAAGACATGTGGATGCTTTTTGTTAGAGCTGGAGAGAAGTTCCAGCTTGAATATCAAATACTTTGGCATGCAGCCATGGATGGCCCCAAGATGGTCTTGCCAAACAGAGAGCGAGAGTGGTCGGAAAGCCAGCAGCTAAAGCAGGGAGGAGCTCAGAGGACTCACCTTGCAAGTACAGACTCGGTTGTCATACTGGTGGGAGTATCTGCAGCAGCTCTGGGCTTCATGAGGCACTACTTCCTTCCCATGATTCATGCTGTTCTTTTTTTGTTTTTTTCTTGAGATGAAGTTTCGCTTTTGTTACCCAGGCTGGAGAGCAACGGTGCAATCTCGGCTCACTGTAACCTCCGCCTCCTGGGTTAAAGCAATTCTCCTGCCTCAGCCTCCTGAGTAGCTGGGACTACAGGCACGTGCCACCAGCCCAGCTAATTTTTTATATTTTTAGAAGAGACGGGGTTTCACCATGTTCACCTGGATGGTCTCGATTTCTTGACCTTGTAATTCACCCACCTCGGCTTCCCAAAGTGCTGGGATTAAAGGCTTGAGCCACCGCACCCGGCCAAGAAGCCACATCGACATGATAAGTTTCCTTTGCATTCTCTCACTAGCCTGCCATGTGTCTTCCCTCTTTCCTAGTGGGCTAGGACTGCTACACGAGAATCTGGAGCCCCCATAATGCTCACCTACTCAGAACCATACCCTCCCCATACGCTGCCTCCAAGGCTGACATTCCCAGTGTTGCCTTCTCATCGCGGCTGCGGGCTCCCGGGGCATGCCAGGGCTGCTCATGGCCATCGGGCAGGATGTTTACTGCTATTCCTACAGCTAATTCTGCAGGGTGCAGCCCAGAGGCATGTGGGTTTGACCTGCGGGAGTCAAGAGTAGCTTTTTACTGCATCTAATGAGGACATTTTAAGTGGCACTCAGTGTACACAGATCCCATCCTCTGGCTGCTAGGGGAAAAGTGCCGAATATTCCGTGTGGAGACACCCAGGAAAGTGATTTCAGTTCAATTACTGGCTCAGAGAGCCTGGAAGTCCTTTTCATAAAAGAAACTTATTTCCTTTTCTTGTTGAATTCTTAGAACTTAGTTAACCCTCCCTGCCTTTTCTTAACCAAAAACACTTTTCTAAGGATGGAAGATTGGCCAAAACTGAAATTAAACCTTCCTCCACCAAAAGCCCTTTGGAGAAGCCCAGTGTTGAGACCGGTGAGATGGTTTGACTCACCAGTGCCTGGTCCCAGGAAGACCTGCATCTGTACTTGGGGAAGCCAGCAGGAGAGGAGGGGAGGTTACTTCACTGAGCCTCTGCAGAAATATGGAAGGCTGGAGTTTGGAATCCTTGAACTTGGCCTTCTCAAATTCAACGGCAGATGACTGGGATTCTTCTGTTATTATCCAAAGGTGTGGGCAGGAAAGGCAGATCTTCTTACATACTGGAAGTTTTAAACAGTCTTTAGTATGCCTTTGTTGAGGTACCTTCCAGAATGTTAGAAACCAGCAGCTCTGGTTTCTATTATGGTGACTTGAATGTCAGATTTAGAAAGCCCAGTGTCAAGGAAAATTGGCTTTGACTTTGTAATCTAGGAGCAATGGTTTGTGAGATGTTTATTCTGTGTTAAAACACCTGTTTTTCTACCAAACAATAAACCAAGAAAAGAATCATGGTGTGGCATGCACTTCTGTTAATGACTTAGCAGATCATGAAGCCTGGGCTGCTGGGACCGGCTTTCATAGTCTTGCTGGGGAGCTTCCCTGGGCCCCTCCGGACCCATTCTGCCCTCATCATCTCTCCATCTCTACTCTGCTCTGGACTCGCTCGGGGTTCCTGGCTCCCAGCAGCCAGGTAGGTTCAGCCAGTGGGAAGCAGCAGCAGGAACACACAGGGCAACAGGAGAGGGAGGGGATCACTGGTTCCCCGGCTTCCTTCTAGCTGGTCCGTGGGGACCTATAACCAAAGACCACTGCTTCTATTGGAAAGCACTCAGAGCTGGGTTCCAACAACTGCTCTCCATTTGTCCCTTCAGACGTACACCTGGTCCTCACACCTCACTGTTGCCAGCCCTAGGATGCCTCACTAGGCAGACTCAGTTACCCACCTGAATGTTCCATACGTTTCCTGCCAGTACCCTGACTAATACAATGTATTCTATAAAGAACCAATTTTTTTTTTTTGAGACCGAGTTTCGCTCTCGTTGCCCAGGTTGAAGTTCAATGGCGGTATCTCCACTCACTACAACCTTCGCCTCCCGGGTTCAACCAAGTCTTCTGCCTCAGCCTCCCCAGTGGCTGGGCCTGGCTAATTTTGTATTTTTAGTAGAAACAGGGTTTCTCCATGTTGGTCAGACTTGTCTGGAACTCCCCACCTCAGGTGATCTACCCTCCTCAGCCTCCCAAAGTGCTGAGACTACAGGCGTGAGCCACCCCACTGAGCAATTTATTTTTTTTTTGAGACAGAGTCTTATTCTGTTGCCCTGGCTGAAGTGCAGTGGCATGATTTTGGCTTACTGCAACCTCCACCTTCCATGTTCATGCGATCCACCCACTTCAGCCTCTTGAGTAGCTGGGACTACAGGCATGAGCTACCACACCCAGCAACGACACCTATAATTTTACGACAGAAGGAACCAGAGTCTGGGGAGGGAGAAAGGAAGAACCTGCATGTTGATAACCTTGAAAATAATATGGTGTACACATTTTGAAATGCTTTTGAATTTTCTTTTTGGAGACAGAGTTTCACTCTGTCACCCTGGCTGCAAGTGCAGTGGCACGTTCACAGCTCGGAATGTAGCTTGCCCAAAATGTGAAACCCTGTCTCTATTAAAAATATTAAAAAGCCAGGTATGGTGGCACATGCCTGTAATCCCAGGTATTCATGAGGCTGAGGCAGGAGAATCACTTGAACCCAGGATGTGGAGGTTGCAGTGAGCCAAGATGGCAACATTGCACTCTAGCCTGGGAACAGAGTGAGACCCTGTCTCAAGAAACAAAACTCACAGCAACACTGCTTTTACTAATGTGGAAACCGAGGCCCAGAAAAGCTGTGTAATTGGCCCAAGGTCTCAAAGCCCATTAATGGTTAAGCTGGAGTTAGAACCCAGCCTCTCCGGAAGCAGAATCAGAGCCTTCAGCTGCCTAAGCTCCACTGACCCTCCCTAAGGGCCAATAGGGTTTTTTGATTTGTTTTCTTTTCTTTTGTGACAGAGTTTCCCTCTTGTTATATAGGTTGGAGTGTAATGGCACAATGTTGGCTCACTGCCACCTCCGCCTCCTGGTTCAAGTGATTCTTCTGCCTGAGGCTCCTGACTGGCTGGGACTACAAGTGTGCACCACCATGCCCTGCTAATTTTTGCATTTTTACTAGAGACTGGGTTTCACTATGTTGACCCGGATGGTCTCAATCTCTTGAACTCATGATCCGCCCCCCTCGGCCTCCCAAAGTGCTGGGATTACCTGCGTGAGCCGCTGCACCTGGCCCTTTTTTGTATTTTTAGTAGAGATGGGGTTTCTCCATATTGGTCAGTCTGGTCTTGAACTCCAGACCTCAGGTGATCCTCCTGCCTCAGTCTCCAAAACTGCTCTGATTACAGGCCTGAGCCACAATACTTGGCCCGGTTCTTAAACATATTTAACCTATCTGCCCCAGTTACCTAAGGGTCTGATCTCTTCCCTCTCCCCCCAGACACCCTCAGGGCAGATTGCACTGTGCCCCCCTCAGCATTGTGGCTGACAGTCTTCTGTATTCCCTTCCCCACTTTCAGGATCATGGAGGTACAGGAAGGGATAGCGGGATAGTAGATTACATCCACATCTTTGGGCAAGGACAGATACCTCAACAGGAGAAATTGGGCAGGGACAGGCAAGTGCTGCCTCCATTTCCAGCCTCATCGTGGTTCTTGGGCCATAATGAGGGGAAGATGCCAAGGGACCACATCCTTCCAGGTTTTCTTCACACTCACGAGCAGATGGTGCCACGGTGCTCCCTAATACTTGTTAATAAGCACCTACTGTTCGTCAGACCCCCCGACTTTTTTTTTTTTGAGACATGGTCTCACTTTGTTCCCCAGCCTGGATTGCATGAATTGCAGTAGCACAATTTCTACTCACTGCAGTCTTGACCTCCTGGGCTTAAGCAATCCTCCCACCTCAGCCTCCTGATAAACTGGGCCAACAGATGTGCACCACTACACTAAGTTAATCGTTTATTTTTTGTAGAGGTGGGGTTTCCCTATGTTGCCCAGGCTGGTCTTAAACTCCTAGGCTCCAGTGATCTGGCCTCGGCTCTCGAAGTGCTGGCATTACAGATACGAGCCATTTGTGAGGCACATTTCACCCTCACACTAACCCCATGGCACAGCTGGGGAAACAAGTGTCTTGAGTTAAAGTGATTTGGCAAGAAAGGCTGAGCTGTAATTAAGATTCTGCTCTTCCCAGTCAGGCGTGGTGGCTCATGCCTGTAATCCCAACACTTGGGAAGGCTGAAGTGGGCGGATCACCAGAGGTCGAGAGTTTGAGACCAACCTGGCCAACATGGCGAAACCCCCGTCTCTACTAAAAATACAAAAATTAGCCAGGTGTGGTGGAGGGCACCTGTGATCTCAAGTACACAAGAAGCTGAGGCAGGAGGATCACTTGAACCTGGGAGGCAGAGGTTGCAGTGAGCTGAGATCGTACCACTGCACATTCCAGCCTGGGCAACAGAGCAAAGCTCCGTCTCAACAACAACAACAACAACAACAAAAAGATTCTATTCTTCCCAACTCTGAAGCCCCTGCTCCCCTCACGGCGGCATCCTGCACTTTTTCCAGGCCCAGGTTAACAACAACGGGGAAGAGGTGAGAGATTTTTCTAACAGGGTAAACCCTCCTCCCAGCCCAACTCCACCATCCTGGGCTGCTCTTCTAGTCACATGATCCTTTGCCCCATTTGACCCAGTTGATCTTGAGCTCATCCACTTTTTCCACATGGCTCAGAGGCAAGGGTGACATTTTTCTCATTTATTGTGGGAGAAAAGCAAGCTCTGCCAAGCCCAGAGTTTCTGGTCTCTCCTGTCCCAACACAAACCGTTCACAGTCTTCCTGCAATTATTCCTGGTGCTGGGTTTTATTTCTAGGAAGCCTTCTGTCCCTCAGCCTCACCAGCCCTTTGCTTTTCAGCCTAGAAGCTCAGGCCATTTGAGGATTGCATGTTCGGCTGTGGGCATGGGGAATGCAGTGACTACACCTGGTTGGCATCCCATACCACAGCCCGGGTAGTGGAGAGGCCAAGAAGTGGGCTGAATACAGGCTCAGGCCTCTCTCTCCTTGCCCCCAAAGGCATTCTCTCCAGCAGGTGACTGGGCCTGACCACTGCAGTGCTGGTCTGAAACCAGTCAGTGGGTTCAATGGGAGGGTCGGCTGCCGCCGGAACACCCCAGCCCTCTGTCGGAGCACGTCCGTCTTTGGCGAGGTCACCCACTTCTCTCTGTTCTAAGAGCATCTCTTCCCTTCATAGCCCTCAACCTGAATTTCTAAGACAGATGTTTAGATGAACTCTCAATGGTAGCTTACATTTTAAAAATGTATTTGTATCTCCAAGGGTGCTGTTTCCTCCCTGAGATTGGAGCAAGGAGCCAGCTCTACCCTCAGCTTCTGTTCCCCCTGGAGAGGAGGTGAGAAGAGGAAGGGCTTCTCAGGCCTCCGCCCTTGCACTCCATACCAACGAGTGCCAGGTTTGAAAGGAGAGGTTTCAGTTCCCCCCTGCCAGGGGGATACCAAGGAGCCACATTACTCAATCTCAGTAAAGCACTTCCCCAGTTATCAGCAGGGCCCCAGGTCAGCGCTGGCTATTTCCATCAAGTACAGAGCAAAGGCCAAGCTCCGTGGCTTACACCTGCAATCCTAGCACTTTGGGAGGCCGAGATGGGAGGATTGCTTGAGCTCAGCCTGATGGATCACTAGAGACCAGCCTGGGCAACACAAGGAAATCCCGTTTTTACAAGACACACACACACATACAGAAAAAGAGAGTGTGTGTGTCTCAGCCCAGGGTGAAGTGCAGTGGTGTGATCTCGCCTTACCGCAACCTCTGCTTCCTGGGGTTCAAGCAATTTTCCTGCCTCACTCCCTACTTGCTGGGATTACAGGTACCTGACACCACACACAGCTAATTTTTTTGTATTTTTAGTGGAGATGGGGTTTCACCACATTGGACAGGCTGGTCTCCAACTCCTGATCTCACCTCGGCCTTCCAAAGTGCTGGGATTATAGGCGTGAGCCACCATGTCCAGCCCAGGATGTCATTTTTCAAGTATTTCCTCTGTTTATTAGTGCCCAAGGGAAAAGCCAAAGCAGATAATAGATAATTAAGAAGGTGGGGCTTTAGAACACACAGGGTGTCAGAACTCTAGTGTGAATGGAATTTGATCTATTTAGTCATCATAAGTAGCCCAGAAAGGAGCTCCTGATAGGTGAAGGGGGTATAGCTCAGTGGAAGAGCATTTGACTGCGGATCAGAAGGTCCCTGGTTCAAATCCAGGTGAGGCCTTTGACTGCAGATCAAGAGGTCTCCGGTTCAAATCCGGGTGCCCCCTTCCCGGATGTTTTCTCACTGCCATTTATTTTTTATATTATTTATTTATTTTGAGACAGAGTATTGCTGTTGTTACCCAGACTGGAGTGCAATGGCGCGATCTTGCCTCACGGCGACCTCCGCCTCCTGGGTTCAGGCAATTCTCCCGCCTCAGCCTCCCGAGTAGCTGGGACTACAAGCACGCGCCACCAGGCCCAGCTAATTTTTCTATTTTTAGTAGAGACGGGTTTCACCATGTTGACCAGGATGGTCTCGATCTCTTGACCTTGTGATCTACCCGCCTCGGCCTCCTAAAGTGCTGGGATTATAGGCGTGAGCCACAGCACCCGGCCTCTCACTTCCATTTAAAAGGAAATGCTGTGATTCACAGTGTCACCACAAAAGATTAAGGAACTTTTAACGTTCCTCCCATGTTCCAGCTGACCACTAGGACAAAAAGCCCCTTTAGGACCTCCTTTGTCTTCAATTAAGACCAAGTCCTAGCCAGGCATGGTGGCTCATACCTGTAATCCAAGCACTTTGGGAGGGCAAAGCAGGGGATCCTCAGGTCAGCAGATCAAGACCATCCTGGCCAGCATGGTGAAACTCCAACTCTACTAAGAATACAAAAAAAAAAAAAAAAAATTAAATCTCTGAGGAAATTCTAAATCTGTTAGTCTGAGAGCTGTGAATGCAATTTGGCTATCAGGTATATGTCGGTGTATATATAAAAATGTTTCGCCGGGCACCGTGGCTCACGCCTGTAATCCCAGCACTTTGGGAGGCTGAGGCGAGCGGATCACAAGGTCAAGAGATCCAGACCATCATGGTCAACATGGTGAAACCCCATCTCTACTAAAAATACAAAAATTCACCGGGTGTGGTTGGTGCACTGTAATCCCAGCTACTTGGGAGGCTGTGGCAGGAGAACTGCTTGAACCCAGGAGGCGGAGGCTGCAGTGAGATGAGATCATGCCACTGTACTCAAGCCTGGGTGACAGAGACTCCAGGCACAATGGCTCATGCCTGTAATTCCAGCACTTTGGGAGGCCAAGGCAGGCAGACCACGAGGTGAAGAGATCGAGACCATCTGGCCAAGATAGTGAAATCCCATTTCTACTAAAATACAAAAATTAGCTAAGCGTGCTGGCGCCCACCTGTAGTTCCAACTACTCAGGAGGCTGAGGCAGGAGAATTGCTTGAACCTGGGAGGTGGAGCTTGCAGTGAGCCAAGATCGTGCCACTGTACTCCAGCCTGGCACCTGGTGACAGAACCAGACTGTCTCAAAGAAAGGCACAAACTCTTTGATGACATCCTTTGCCGTGGTCCTTCACCGCTACACAATTACAACCACTTTACAGGGTTTTCCCTCTGTCAGTTTTACTGTGGCCCATCCCTTCCCATAGTTTCTTGTCATCAACTTTAATTAGGGTGATCTGGTGTTCAGCACCAAGGGCCTTCACCAGCCACATAGGCAGGCTCATCGCAGTTGGGGGCAGCACACAAGGATGGGCCCAGTGCTTTTCTAAGATTTGACAGCTTCTTGAATTCCACGTGCCAAGCTATCGTGGATGAAGGTGGGCCTTCAGGACCTCTTGTAAAGCAGTATTAAGGTCCTTGACACCTCCAGCAGTCATGCTTTCCTGGGCCATGGCAGCAGGTTACGGGTGAAGCTGATTCTTGAACAAACCTGACCCTCTGCCTCCACGACTCGGTGGCGGTGGGGAAAGAGCAGAAGCTTGTTCTTGGTTAACAGTCACTGCACCTAAAATGTGCTCTAGGTTGCTTGAAAAGGGGTTAAACTTGGCCAAGAAGTTGATAAAGCATTTCGGCCAGTTTGCTTGTTACCAATGGTGTCATAAAGATTAATATATCACCGTGTCCAAGTATTTTTCTTTCTTGTAGACAAGGTCTCACTCTGTCGCCCAGGCTAGTGTACAGCGGCTGTGATCTTGGCTCACTGCAGCGGCAGCCTTTAACTCCCAGGCTCAAACAATCCTCCCACCTCAGCCTCCTGAGTAGCTGGGATTACAGGTGTGTAGTACCTCACCCGGCTTTTGCGGTTTGGGGGTTTCTGTTTAGGTACACATGGGGTTTTGCCATGTTGCTTAGGTTGGTCTAGAACTCACTTTGGCCTCCCAAAGCACTGGGATTACAGGTTTAAGCCACTGTGCGTGGCCTTGAAGAGTTTTCCATTTTGCCCTACTCCCCAGCTGACAATGGAAGGTAGTGAATGAGCAGGTGATTGTGACAGCAGCACTGAGCTGTGATAGACCCCTTGCTGACTAGCCCATTGTCTGCTTATAGCCTTCTAGAGATGACAATCAATGGCACAGACTGGTTATCAAAAATGCCCACAAATACTGGCCAGGTGCAGTGGCTCACGCCTGTAATCTCAGCGCTTTGGAAGGCCAGGGTGGGCAGATCACTAGAGGTCAGGCATTCAAGACCAACCTGGCCAACATGGTGAAACCCCATCTCTACTGAAAATAGAAAAATTAAAATACAACAAAAAGAGAGGACTTAGAAGTGCTCAGATTTTGCACAGTAACTAAAACATCCTATTCATGATAAGAATTACAGATTACGATTGTAGGTTCCATTCTCTCCCTAATGATGGTAGGTCTGAAGTAGAACATGCAAATATAGCTTCCAAATTAGCATTCAATCAAAAAAAAAAATTTTTTTCTTTTGAGATGGAGTTTCGCTGTTGTTACCCAGACTGGAGTGCAATGGCACCATCTTGGCTCACCGCACCTCCGCTTTCTGGGTTCAAGCAGTCCTCCTGCCTCAGCCTCCCGAGTAGCTGGGACTACAGGCATGCACCACCATGCCCAGCTAATTTTTGTATTTTTTAGTAGAGACAGGGTTTCACCTTGTTGACCAGAATGGTCTCGATCTCTTGACCTCGTGATCCACCCGCCTCGCCTCCCAAAGTGCTGGGGTTATAGGCATTAGCCACTGCGCCCGGCCCTAATCAAATTTTTTTTTAACAATTAGAAGCGTATTTTGTGGGAGCGAAGCGATCGCTGGGCTGCGCTTGGGTCTCTCGCTGCCTCGCTGTCCCTATCGGGCTTCCCAGCAGCGGCCTAGCATAAAAGTAAAAGATGTCTGAATATATTCGGGTAACCAAAGAGGAGAACGATGAATCCACTGAAATACCATCGGAAGGGGCTGGGCGCGGCGGCTCAAGCCTGGAATCCCAGCACTTTGGGAGGCCGAGGTGGGTGGCTCACGAGGTCAAGAGATGGAGACCATCCAGGTCAACATGGTGAAACCCCATCTCTAATAAGATACAAAAAATTAGCTGGGCATGGTGGCACGTGCCTGTAATCCCAGCTACTCAGGAGGCTGAGGCAGGAGAATTGCCTCAATCCAGGAGGCAGAGGTTGCGGTGAGCCGAGATCGCGCCATTGCACTCCAGCCTGGGTAACAAGAGTGAAACTCCGTCTCGAAAAAGAAAGAAAGTAGTGCTTTAAACATTCTGCCATAGGAGTACTTCTGTCTACTTGCTTTCTCATTCAAGAATTCGTCATCACGCATTACAGGCCACGTCTTTGACGGTGGGTGTCCCATTTATATCCGCTACTCTTTATTTCATGGAGTCGTATCAATGCTATGAACGCAAGGCTGTGATATGGAACCAGAAGGCCGTTTGAACTTTTGAAACCTCGTGTGGGATTGATGGTGGTGCCGAGGCATGAAAGGCTAGTATGAGCGAGAAAAGGAGAGAGCGCGTGCAGAGACTTGGTGGTGCATAATGGATATTTTTTAACTTGGCGAGATGTGTCTCTCAATCCTGTGCTTTGGTGAGAGTGTGCAGAGAGCAATGATAGCAAATACTGTATGAATGTTTTTTGCATTCAAAGGACGTCCACATGTTGGAAGACTTAAGTGAGTTTTTGTTCTTAGATAACCCACATTAGTGAATGTGTTAAGTGAAACGATACTTGTACTCCCCCTACCCTTTGTCAACTGCTGTGAATGCTGTATGGTGTGCGTTCTCTTCTGTTACTGATATGTAAGTGTGGTAATGTGAACTGAAGCTGATGGATAGAGAACATGGACTGAGCTTGTGGTGTGCTTTGCAAGAGTACTTGGAAGTAGAGTTCACCAGTGAGCTCAGGTGTCTCAAGAAGGGTGGAAGTTCTAATGTCTGTTAGCTACCCATAAGAATGCTGTGTGCTGCAGTTCTGTGTCCTGTGCTTGAATGCTTTTTATAAGAGTTGTCAATGTTGGAAATTCTTAAATAAAACTGATTTAAATTAAAAACAAACAAACAAACAAACAAAAAATAATTAGAAGCTGTCGAGGAGCAGTGGCTCACGCCTATAACTGTAATCCCAGCACTTTGGGAGTCCAAGGCAGCAGATTGCTTGAGTCCAGGAGTTCAAGACCATTCTGGCCAAAATGGTGAAACCCCATCTCTACTAAAAATACAAAAAAATTTAGCTGGGCAGGGTGGCGTGTGCCTGTAATCCCAGCTACTCGGGAGGCTGAGGCAGGAGAATTGCCTGAACCCAGGAGGCGGAGGTAGCGGTGAGCCGAGATTGCATCATTGCATTCCGGCCTAGGTAACAAGAGCGAAACTCCGTCTCAACAAAAAAAAAAAAAAAAAAAAAAAAGGAAGCTTGGCTTGTGTTATAAGGCTGGATCAACTTGCTTAATCTTTGAGCCAGTGAGTCTTTTTTAGTGAAAGATAAAGTTGCTGTTAGTGACAAAGTGCTACTGCCCTTGGCCATGAGAACCTCGGAGCCAATGGAAATGATCAAAGCTAAGCTTCTGGACAACACTAGCAGCTACCTGGATTGTTAACTTTCCTCTTTCTTCTTTGAGACAGAGTCTTGCTCTGTCGCCAGGCTGGAGTGCACTGGTACAATCTTGGCTCACTGCAACCTCCACCTCTGGGGTTCAAGCGATTCTCTTACCTCAACTTCCATACATGCCAGCACACCCAGCTAATTTTTTTGTAGTTTTAGGGGAGATGGTGTTTCACCACATTGGGACAGGCTGGTCTCGAACTCCTGATCTCACCTCGGCCTCCCAAAGTGCTGGGATTACAGGCGTGAGCCACCATGTCCAGCCCAGGATGTCATTTTTCAAGTATTTCCTCTCAGTTTATTAGTGTCCAAGGGAAAAGCCAAAGCAGATGATAGATAATTAAGAAGGTGGGGCTTTAGAACACACAGCGTGTCAGAACTCTAGTGAGTGGAACTTGATCTATTGAGTCACCATAAGTAGCCCAGAAAGGAGCTCCTGATAGGTGAAGGGGGTATAGCTCAGTGGAAGAGCATTTGACTGTGGATCAGAAGGTCCCTGGTTCAAATCCAGGTGAGGCCTTTGACTGCAGATCAAGAGGTCTCCGGTTCAAATCCGGGTGCCCCCTTCCCGGATGTTTTCTCACTGCCATTTATTTTTTATATTATTTATTTATTTTGAGACAGAGTATCGCTGTTGTTACCCAGACTGGAGTGCAATGGCGCGATCTCACCTCACCGCGACCTCCGCCTCCTGGGTTCAGGCAATTCTCCCGCCTCAGCCTCCCGAGTAGCTGGGACTACAAGCACGCGCCACCAGGCCCAGCTAATTTTTCTATTTTTAGTAGAGACGGGTTTCACCATGTTGACCAGGATGGTCTCGATCTCTTGACCTCGTGATCCATCTGCCTCGGCCTCCCAAAGTGCTGGGATTATAGGCGTGAGCCACAGCGCACGGCCTCTCACTTCCATTTAAAAGGAAATGCTGTGACTCACAGTGTCACCACAAAAGATTAAGGAACTTTTAACGTTCCTCCCATGTTCCAGCTGACCACTAGGACAAAAAGCCCCTTTAGGACCTCCTTTGTCTTCAATTAAGACCAAGTCCTAGCCAGGCATGGTGGCTCATGCCTGTAATCCAAGCACTTTGGGAGGGCAAAGCAGGGGATCCTCAGGTCAGCAGATCAAGACCATCCTGGCCAGCATGGTGAAACTCCAACTCTACTAAGAATACAAAAAAAAAAAAAAAAATTAAATCTCTGAGGAAATTCTAAATCTGTTAGTCTGAGAGCTGTGAATGCAATTTGGCTATCAGGTATATGTCGGTGTATATATAAAAATGTTTCGCCGGGCACCGTGGCTCACGCCTGTAATCCCAGCACTTTGGGAGGCCGAGGCGAGCGGATCACAAGGTCAAGAGATCCAGACCATCATGGTCAACATGGTGAAACCCCATCTCTACTAAAAATACAAAAATTCACCGGGTGTGGTTGGTGCACTGTAATCCCAGCTACTTGGGAGGCTGTGGCAGGAGAACTGCTTGAACCCAGGAGGCGGAGGCTGCAGTGAGATGAGATCATGCCACTGTACTCAAGCCTGGGTGACAGAGACTCCAGGCACAATGGCTCATGCCTGTAATTCCAGCACTTTGGGAGGCCAAGGCAGGCAGACCACGAGGTGAAAAGATCGAGACCATCTGGCCAAGATAGTGAAATCCCATCTCTAGTAAAATACAAAAATTAGCTAAGCGTGCTGGCGCCCACCTGTAGTTCCAACTACTCAGGAGGCTGAGGCAGGAGAATTGCTTGAACCTGGGAGGTGGAGCTTGCAGTGAGCCAAGATCGTGCCACTGTACTCCAGCCTGGCACCTGGTGACAGAACCAGACTGTCTCAAAGAAAGGCACAAACTCTTTGATGACATCCTTTGCCGTGGTCCTTCACCGCTACACAATTACAACCACTTTACGGGGTTTTCCCTCTGTCAGTTTTACTGTGGCCCATCCCTTCCCATAGTTTCTTGTCATCAACCTTAATTAGGGTGATCTGGTGTTCAGCACCAAGGGCCTTCACCAGCCACATAGGCAGGCTCATCGCAGTTGGGGGCAGCACACAAGGATGGGCCCAGTGCTTGTCTAAGTTTTGACAGCTTCTTGAATTCCACGTGCCAAGCTATCGTGGATGAGGGTGGGCCTTTAGGACCTCTTGTAAAGCAGTATTAAGGTCCTTGACACCTCCAGCAGTCATGCTTTCCTGGGCCATGGCAGCAGGTTACGGGTGAAGCTGATTCTTGAACATACCTGAGCCTCTGCCTCCACTACTCAGTGGCGGCGGGGAAAGAGCAGAAGCTTGTCTTGGTTAACAGTCACTGCACCTAAAATATGGTCTAGGTTCCTTGAAAAAGGGTTAAACTTGGCCAAGAAGTTGAGAAAGCATTTCAACCAGTTTGCTTGTTACCAATAATGTCATAAAAATTAATATATCACCGTCTCCAAGTATTTTTCCTTTTTTTTGGACAAGGTCTCACTCTGTTGCCCAGGCTAGAGTACAGCGGGTGTGATCTTGGCTCACTGCAGTGGCAGCCTTTACCTCCCAGCCTCAAACAGTCCTCCCACCTCAGCCTCCTGAGTAGCTGGGATTACAGGTGTGTACCACCTCACCTGGCTTTTAAGGTTGAGTGGTTTCTTTTTATGTAGAGATGGGATTTTGCCATGTTGCTCCGGTTTGTCTAGAACTCACTTTGGCCTCCCAAAGCACTGGGATTACAGGTGTGAGCCAGTGTGCCTGGCCTTGAAGGGTTTCCATTTTGCCCTACTCCCCAGGTAACAATGAAAGAGAGCGAATGGGCAGGTGATTGTGACAGCAGCACTGAGCTGTGATAGACCCCTTGCTAACTAGCCCAGTGTCTGCCTGCTAGAGATGACGATCAATGGCACACACTTGTTACCAAAAATACCCACAAATACTGGCCAGGTGAGGTAACTCATGCCTGTTATCCCAGCGCTTTGGAAGGCCAGGGTGGGCAGATCACTAGAGGTCAGGATTCAAGACCAACCTGGCCAACATGGTGAAACCCCGTCTCTACTGAAAATACAGAAATTAAAATACAGAAAGAAAGAGAGCAGTTAGACGTGCTCATATTTTGTACAGTAACTAAAACATCCTATTCATGATAAGAATTACAGATTACGATTGTAGGTTCCATTGTCTCTCCCTAATAATGGTAGGCCGGAAGTACAAAATGCAAATATAGCTGCGACATTAGCATTCAATCAAGTTTTTTTTTTTTTTTTTTTTTTTGAGACGGAGTTTCACTGTTGTTACCCAGATTGGAGTGCAATGGCACCATCTCGGCTTACTGCAACCTCCACCTTCTGGGTTCAAGCAATGCTCCTGTCTCAGCCTTCCGAATAACTGGGACTGCAAGCATGCACCACCATGCCTAGCTAATGTTTGTAGTTTTTAGTAGAGACGGGGTTTCAACTTGTTGACCAGAATGGTCTCTATCTCTTAATCTTGTGATCCACCCACCTCAGCCTCCCAAAGTGAGCTGAGATCGTGCCACTGCACTCCAGCCTGGGTGACAGAGCCAGATTCCTTCTCTCAAAAAAAAAAACAAAAACAAAAATATAGGTCAATATGTGTTATGAAAATAGAGACGCAAAAACCCTCAACAAAATGCAGGCAAGCCAAATCCAGAGCATATAAAAAGGATTACATACCATAACCAAGTGGGATTTCTCTCTGAAATAGAAAGTTGGTTCAACATATGAAAAACCAACCAATGTAATACACCATATTAATAGACGTGGAAAACCTCACATGATTTTCTCAAATGATACACAGAAAAAGCACTGCACAAAACGCGACATCCTTTCACGATAAAAAAAATACTCAACTATCTAGAAACAGAAGGGGTCGTTTCCTCAACCTGATAAAAGGCCATCTACAAAATACCCACATCTAACATCATATTTACTGGCTAAAGACAAAGTTTTCCCTCTACGGCAAGAACAAGACAAAGATGTTGGTTCTCACTACTTCTATTCCATCACTGTAGTGGAAGTTTTAGACAGGCAACTACGCAAGACAAAGAAATAAAAGGCAAACAAACATGACCTTATACACAGAAAATCCTAAAGAATCCACCAAAAAGTTACTAGACCTAAAAAATGATTTCAGCAAGGTTGCAGGACACAAGATCAGTATAGAAAAACCAGTTGTATTTCTATACACTAGCAATGAACAGCCTGAATATTAAACAAAAATTACATTTACAATGGCTTCAAAAAGAATAAAGTACTCCTCTGGTCCTGCTCAGGCTCAGTTACTAAAGAAGAGAAAAAGTACTTAGGAATATATATATATATATATATATTTTTTGAGACAAGAGTCTTGCTCTGTCACCCAGGCTGGAGTGAACTGGCATGATCTTGGCTCACTGCAACCTCCACTCCCCCAGTTCAAGCAATTCTCCTGTCTCAGCCTCCCAAGTAGTTAGGACTACAGGCACCCCCACCGGGCCCGGCTGATTTTTGTATTTTTAGCAGAGATGGAGTTTCACCATATTGGTTAGTCTGGACTCAAACTCCTGACCTCAGGTGATCCACCTGCCTTGGCCTCCCAAAGTGCTGGGATTACAGGCGTGAGCCACTGCACCTGGTCAACTTAGGAATATATTTAACATAATAAATGTATGGTGTGTACACAGAAAACTATAAAACACTGTTGAAACAAATTACAGGTTTAATACCTGACAATCCCTGTCAAAATTTCAACTACCATTTTTTGGAGCACTGGATAAACAGATCCTAAATTCATATTATGCAAGGGAGTCAGAATATTCATAACCATCTTGAAAAGGAAGAGTTGGGAGGACTCACACCTCTCAATTTCAAAATGCCTGACAAAGCTACAGTAATCAAGACACTGTGTTACTAGCATATGGATAGAAATACAGATCAATGGAGTAGAACTGAGACCAGAAATAAATCCATGTACCTATTTATGGTCGATTGGTTTTCATCAAGGTGCCAAGACCATCCAATGGAAGAAAGAAGAGTCTTTTCAACTGCTGGGACATTTGAATATCAAACTGCAAAAGAATGAATTTGGATGCCTACCTTATACTATATGGAACAAAAACAAAGAAAAATAGATCTAGATCTAAAACTATAAAACTCTTTGAAGGAAACAGAGTATAAGTCATCATGATATTGATCAGGCAATGATTTCTCAAATATGACAACAAAAGCACACACACACAATACATACATACACACATACAAATTGGGCTTCATCGAAATCAAAAACTTCCATGCAACAAAAAACACTATTTAGGGCCGGACACGGCGTCGCGCCTGTAATCTCAGCACTTTGGGAAGCTGAGGCGGGCAGATCACTTGAGGACAGGAGATCGAGACCAGCCTGGCCAACATGGTGACAACCGTCTCTACTAAAAAGACAAAATTAGCTGGGGGTGGTGGTGGGCGCCTGTGGTCCCAGCTCTTCGGGAGGCTGAGGCAGGAGAATTACTTGAACTTGGGAGGCGGAGCCTACAGTGAGCCAAGATCGTGCCACTGCATTCCAGCCTGCTAGTGACAAGAGCAAAACTTCATTAAAAAAAAAAAAAAAAAGTTACACAAATAGCCAATTGGCACATGAAAAGATACTAAACATCATTAGTCCCTAGGTTGATGCAAATCAAAGCCACAGCGGGATATCACTTTATTTAATTTTATTTACTTATTCCCTCCTACCCCCCATTTGGCTGGAGTGCAGTGGGGCGATTTCTGCTCATGGCAACCTCCATCTCCCGGGCTCAAGCCGTCCTCCTGCCTCAACCTTGGAGTAGCCGGGACTACAGGCACCCACCACCACACCCGGCTAATTTTAAAAATGCTTCTGTCGAGACAGTGTCTCGCTTTATTGCCCAGGTTGGTCTCGAATTTCTGGCTTCCAGTGATCCTCCCACCTTGGCGCAGTGTTGGGATGACAGGCGTCAGCCATTACGCGGGTGGCAGCCATTCTGAGGTTTAACACAGAGAGCCAGTATGCACCCAGCATCTGTGTATGCATTATACAGAATATGTGGACCACCCTCTATAAAGGTCCGTGCACGAGGTTGGCTTTCTCTCGCGGTCTAGCAGTTTTCCACAGAAAAGCGGCACTCATTTTTGCACAGTCTCCAAAATGCTGTTGGGATTGGGAGCCCGCAGCTTCCGGAATTACAGGCTCTTTCCCCGCCCCCAGTGCCCCATTCCAGGCCTGGTCTCAACAGGCCCAAGGCGCACGCCCAGAGAAGGATGGGGGTGGGAGGGGCACGCTACACCCAGTAGGGGGCAGCCCCAGGCTTCCACGCTGTCAGTGCTTCTGGGTCCCCTGGGTTTCACCAGTGTTGGGACCCCCCCATTCCCGCCGGCCAGCCCGGGAGCCGAGCGTGGAGGCTGGCCTCGCCTTCCCCCGGGAGGTAGGCCTGACAGCACAGGGGGACAGTCCAGCCTCAGCATGCCAAAGCTCAATGGGGAAGAGGATCCACCTCCCAACTGGGCTCTCCGGTTTGGGGGGTGTCGGAGCTGTTCTGGTTCCAGGCTGAGCCTTACCATCTCGTTTAGCACATGGTTAGGGGCCCTGGACTGGAGACCAATAACTGGGGCTCAGAGACTCTTGGGAGTCCCGGGGCCACGGGGTTGCTTCTCGGGGGGATAATGTTCCAGTGGTGATGGTTGCACTATCTTGCCGATAATAATAACCCCACAGGATTGAACACAGTTTATAAAGTGAATTTTAGGGTATGTGAACTATATTCATTAAAAAAGGATGTTTACTACACCATGCTGTAATAGATAGAATGAGGAATATCCTAGATAGCCAACAAGGGAATTCTCTAAGTGTCTGGCTCATATCTGTAATCCCAGCACTTTGGGAGGCCAAGGCGGGTCGATCACGAGGTCAAGAAATCGAAACCATCCTGGCCAAAATGGAGAAACCCCGACTCTACTAAAATACAAAAATTAGCTGGGCCTGGTCATGCGCGCGCCAGTAGTCCCAGCTACTCCGGAGGCTGAGGCAGGAAAATCGCTTGAGCCCAGGAGGCAGAGGTCACAGTAGCCGAGACACACCACTGTACTCAAGCCTGGCGACAGAGCAAGATTGTCCCAAAAAAAGAAAAAAAGAGTCTGTAGACTAGCGAGCTGTAGAGTGCAAAATATTAATGCCACTGGTTTGTAAAGCTGAATACAAAGTGGCTTCTACAGCTCGGGTGGTGGCTCACACCTCTAATCCCAGCACTTTGGGAGACTGAGGTGGGAGGATAGCCTGACCCCATGAGTTTGAGACCAGCCTGGGCAACATAGTGAGACCCTTGTCTCTACAAATAATTTTAAAAATTAGATAGGTGTGGTGGAGTGCGCCTGTATTCCCAGCAGTCCCAGCTACTCAGGAGGCAGAGGTGGGAGGATCACTTAAAGCCAGGAGATCCAGGCTGCAGTGAGCCATGGGCGGGCCACTGCACTCTGGCCTGGGCGAAAGGGCGGCCCTGTCTCTAAAATCCATTCGGTTAGGAGTTGTTTACTGTAAAACAACATTTTAAACAGCTGACTTAAAGAACAACAATGTCTTCTGGTAACCTTTAAGAAATACTTCAGGCAGCTGGCTTTGTACTAACGCCCAAATTGAGTTGTTGTCCCCTCCCCACCCCAGGGAGTATCCCTCTGTCTCCCAAGAGGGAGTAGAGTGGCGCTATGTCGACTCACTGCAACCTCTGCCTCCTGGGTTCAAGGGATTCTCCTCCTCAGCCTCTCGAGTACCTGGGATTACAAGTGCCCACCACCACACCTGGCCAGGATGGTCTCGATCTCCTGACCTCGTGATCCGCCTGCCTTGGTCTCCCAATGTGCTAGGATTACAGGCCCGAGCCACCGCACAGGACCTGAGTTGGTATTTTCATTCCTATTTTACAAATGAGGAAACCGAGGCTTAGAGGGCTAGGTATCCTATCCAGCATAAGTTAAATGGTGGAACAGGGATTTCCATCTCTGTTGGTAGGACCCCCAGGCCTGGTTACCCACAGGACACCACCTCAACTCTAATTTCTCTGGTTAAAACCAGAGTTTGGGACTTTGGAATTCTTTCCTCTAGAAACCTGTACCCTAAGTTTTCTTTACTTCTGGTTGCGCTGCTGGGGTCACAAGACAATGTCTGTTGAACACCATGGTGAAACCTGTCATGATTTCTGAAGTCCCCGGGAAGCCCGTGAGGCGTGGAAGAACTGGCTTTCTCGCTAACACACAACTCAGAGTGGAGGCGAGGGCCAAATGCAGGCCCCACCATTTGCTAGTTCGTGCGCTACCCCCACGGATAACCAAACTGCACCCCTTCCTGCGTCTGACAAGCACACACAGGGCTGGTGTTGGGAAAAGTTAGTGGCTGTGAAGCCGCCAGCACAGGGCCGGCCACTTCGTAAGCGTCGGTCACGCCTTAGCTGTTCACCGCCGTAGGGCTAGTAGCCCAGCCACCGCCAGGTGTCGGGTGAGGCCTTCGGCATCAGGGCTTAGAGAAACGCCGTCAGTGGCGACACTCGGGGTGCCCTCCCTGCGTGTTTACGGCTGCAGTATTGATCCGGCCGGAGGACCCTGAGCGCCCCCGAACAGGCGGAGCGCGCCAACCCAGTTACCACCCAGGCAGGGTAGTGCTGCAGTTCCACGTGCTCGTCCCTGCTCGTCCCTCCTCGTTCCTCCCCGCCCCTTTCCCCGGCCTTCTTAAGCTGCGCGGTTCTCCCACCCCGAGCTCTGCAGCGGGAAAGCGGCAGCCCTCGAACCGACGCCAATAGTCACCCCAGGCAGCACAGACTTACCTGTTCAGAGGGTTTCTTCCGGATCCCCCTCGACCTTTGCTCTGCAGGAGTTGGGCCCAAGTGTGCAAGGACCCGGAAAGACCAAGGTGTAGCGTCAGCCAGTTAGGTGGATCCGTCTTTGGTGTTGTAGTAGCCGATAGGGCTACAGAGGTCTTCCTTTTCTTCTCACTGGAAGGGGATTCTGTCTATCAACGTCAATAGGCGCCATCATACGGAGAAGGCGGGGATTAGGGCTTCGGCTCCTCCCAGGCCTGGCCTGTCAGGGCCGGATGCACGTGGAGGCGGGGCCGGGAGCGTTTAGGGGCGGGGATAGGCGCACGTGGGGGCGGGGCCGGGGACTGCTCCCTGAGCGCGAAACTGCAGGGAGTCCCTTTCCAGAGCGGCCGTATCCGGCTCTCTCTGCAGGCTGATCTGGCCCTGGAGAAGTCCTCTCGCTGTGGTGGAAAGAGCGAAGGAGTCTGAGGCGAGGGACAGAAGTAACGTGATGTTACGACAGGCGGTGATGTCTTCGGCAATGGCCTCAGGCGGCGGAGACAGCTGCCCTGGGTCTGCGGGGTTCAAGGTGTAGCGGAGCGATCCCTGACCGTGGAACTAAGAGTCCTCGGTGCTGGCTCCAGTACTGCGCCTGTTTGCTGTGGCACCTAGGGCGAATCTCTTTCCTTCTCTGTGCCTTGATTTCTTATGTTGAGAGAAGGAATCTGATCTATCATTCTCAGGTCCCCTCCAGCTCGGAGTTTGTTTCACATCATCAGTATTTCCAGAATGACCTATGTGTGCTGTGCCTGTCCCGGGTATCAGCTGACGATTATGAGATCTTCTGAAAGGAAAACGGAAGCCTCTGATGGACTGGTGGCCCGAAGAGACAGTTTGTGAGGACACCTGAGTTCACAGAGCCAGGCTTGGTGGGGCCCAGCAGCAGGCCTTGGGGCATCATGCGGCTCCATAACCCAGGCCCCTGCCCGTGGCTGGACCCGTTTTAAAGCAGGCGATGGGGTTCATCCATGGCACGCTGTGTGAAGGCATTTCAGCCCATAACGAGGACGCTGGGATTTCAGGCTCAACTCCTGACTCTGAGGACTTTGTAGATAAGTACAGCGTGTGGAGTGGGGTGGGGTGATGAGGACAACGAGAGAAGTGGGCATAGTCAGAATAAAGGACCGCTTCATGAAGCTTTTGAAGAGAAGGCAGAGAGAAATCCAGCTGAAGGAACAACCTGGCTGGAGCCGTTTCAAGCTGGCTGGATGGGAGGGGAATCTTGGAAGCAAAACTCCCGTAGGGTGGGTTGGGGCTTGTTGCTGCAGGAATTGACAGGGAAAGAATAGTCAGGCCTGGCACAGTGGCTCTTGTCTGTAATCCCAGCACTTTGGGAGGCCAAGCTGGTGGATCACTTGAGGCCAGGAGTTCGAGACCAGCCTGGCCAACCTGGCGAAACCCAGTCTCTACTAAAAATACAAAAACTTAGCCAGGTGTGGTGGCCGGTGCCTGTAATCCCACTTACTTGGGAGGCTGAGGTAGGAGAATGGCTTGAACCCGGGAGGCGGAGGTTGCAGTGAGGGGAGATTCTACCATTGCACTCCAGCCTGGGTGACAGAGCAGACACTGTCTTGGAAAAAAAAAAGTAGACAATGGGAAGCTCTGAGAGTTTGAGAGTTGGGAAGTGACAGGACTAGAGCTGTGCTTCTGGGAAATCACCGTGTAGGGGGTTGGGAAGAAAAGATTGTGAAAGTCAACTGGGAGACCCCAAAGGAATTTATTGCAGCAACAGTCTTTGTGAAAGGTAGTTAGGGCCAAACCAGGTGGGGGTAGCCAGGATGGAAGGGAGGTGCAGACGGGAGGCAGGATTTAGACTTGAACTCTGGGAGAGGAGTCAAGCCGGCTTCTCCACGGAAGAGGGGGGAACACTGGAGGAAGGCAGCAGGAGGACTTGGCTTGGGCTTGCTGAGGGAATGAGCGGCTGGCAGCCGACCAGCAGGCTCTGTTGAGTGTCCATGGAGGGGACAGTGAGGTAGACATGAGATATACCTTGGGGACCTGCAACACACACAGAGAAAAGATTAAAGAATGTTTGCAAATGAGTGCACAAAGGAAGCTTGCTGGGCATTGGGCAAGTCATTAGGCATTCCACCCTCAGTTTCTTCACAGGTTAGAGTGAGGATAAGACACCTACTGAGGAAGGTGGTAACGAGTAAGCTCTGATGATAGAGTACCTCACCCAGGTCTTGGTGAACAGCGCCCATTTAAGAAAAATAATCAGGCATAATCCAGTGTTTGTGACTATCTAGTAAGTTTTCCGTTTTGTTTTTGAGACAGCATCTCGCTCTGTCACCCAGGCTGGAGTGTAGTGGCGATCTCAGATCACTGCAACCTCCACCTCCCAGGCTCAAGCAGTCCTCTCACTTCAGCCCCCCAGGTAGCTGGGACCATGGGTGCATATCACCACACCCACTGAGTTTTGTATTTTTTGTAGAGATAGGGATCTCTCTATGTTGCCCAGGCTGGTCTCGAACTTGTGAGCTCAAGTGATCTGCCCACCTTGGCTTTCCAAGGTGTTGGGATTACAGGCGTGAGCCACCGCCTTCTGCAAAACTCTCTATCCCTCTTTGTGTGATTACATATTCACTAAACTGATGACTGACTCCATTATGATTTTGGAAAAGTGGGAGCCCTGGGTAATGGACAATTCTAAAACTTTTTCATTCTTTCAGACTATGTTTTTGTACCCATTAGCCATCCCCACATCTCCCCATCCTCCAAAATGGAAAATACAAATGTTAATTTAAACAAATCAACATTTGTTTAAATCAACTGCAAGAGTTACTCAGGAGGCTGAGGCAGGAGAATCACTTGAACCCGGGAGGTGCAAGTTGCATTTACCTGAGATCTCACCAATGTACTCCAGGCTGAGCAACAGAGTGAGACTCTGTCTCAAAAAAGAAAAAAAAAAAGCACAACAATATAAGAAAACTTAAAACAGAAAAACACAAATGAAAAAATACCCAAATTATCTGTGATAAATCCATCCCACCAAAAAAACCACTGTTAATATTTGGATGTGTGTTTTTCTAAGCATGTGTTTGTTGTAACAGTTTATGTCCTAGAGTAATTAATTCAACAAATATTTATTGAGCACTTGGAACGCCAGACCTGTTCTAGGTGCTGGGGATGTAAGTGCATTTTTTTTTTTTAATTAAGAAGATTATTTTTGAAAACAATCACAAACTAAACTAAGAGAATACTTCCAACTAGAGAATTTTTGTTTTTCTTTTCCTGAGGGTAAGTACTGATTTGGTACGTCATTAGTCTGGAGTACTTTTAGTTCGTACTTCCTAGAGACATGGGCATTCTCCTTTGTATCCAAGGTATAACCATCAAAATTGAAAAATTGCCATTGATACACTACTGTCACCTAATCTTCAGCTCCATTCAACTTAATTCAATTGAACTTAATCTCCACTTCATGGAAATTGGTATTTAGAAGCCAAGACCTGAGTGCTAAGTGTGCTTATTGCTATTAGGGTATCTTGTTCCAAGGCCTTCTCCATGGTTACAGTTGGGAGCACCCTCCCACCCCCCCGACACACAGTTACTTACGTCTATATTTATTTGTACATCTGTCTACTCACATATTTTGAAAACCATGAGTTTACACCAGTATCTCCAATTCCAATGCATCACTCTAGGGCTGATTCTAGTTTTCTCCCTTTCTGTGTTTGTAGCTTACTTCTCCAGCTAGGAGTGAGGTTCTCATTATTTTTATTTACTTGTTTGATCAGTCCCCTTCTACATAGACATCTCCTCTCTCTGCCTCCATCCCCTGCCCAATACAGATGTCCTCCTTCCCCACTCAGGCTCTGGAAACCTGGACTGGGAAACCCTGTACCCTTCACCCATGAGGATGCCTTCCGCAGTCTTCCTGGCCTCCAACATTCCATGTGTGGATCCAGTTTTGAACAAGGCAGACAGATTCCTTGCTTTCAACGAGCTCACATTCCAGTGGGGAGAGAGACAGAAAAATAAAAATGATAAGTGCAATGACAAGATGTGATAAGAAGTGACTGGGGGCTACTTTGGGTCAGGTGACTATTCTCTTTTAGCTCCCCTGTTCCCCATCTACTCTTCATCCTTCTTTGGCCTGCTGTGTGCATATCTACAAAATGCATTACCTGGACTCCTCTGCTGCCAGCCTTCTAGTTGAGTTCAACCAGTGAGAGACACCCGTAGTAGATAGGTGGGTGGATGGAGAGAGAAATGAGCATTTTGCTTGCTCCTTCCTTGCTTGGGAATATGTTTTCTGGCCCCTCATCCAGGAGCCAGAAATTTCATTTCCTCCCCTTGCTCCTTTGAGCCCCTTAGTGGTCACAGCTTTCCACTCTTGCTACCCCTTGGGTGCCACAGTGGTTTTATTTCTCTTCATCTTACCCAAACTGTTAATAGTTCTTTTGAATCAGCTCAGTCGGATGCTGTTTCAGAAAAGGGCTCTTTAAGGTAATTACTTTTTTTGTGTGGTTTAAACAGTATGTTGTGAATAATGCTTTTCTGAGGTCAATAAGTATTCTTATACAATGCGATTTTCAAAAGTGCAGTCTGTTAGTCAAGAAAGGTCACTATTAGCCAGGCTTGTCTTTCTAGATCTGAGTGCAGAATGGATTATCTTCTTGTCCTGTCCTGGCCTGATGGCCAAGCATCTTAAATTGTGAATTAAAGAGAGAGCATGTTGTAGTAACTCTACCTCCCCAGGCATCTAGATTACCCAAGTAATGTAATTTGTGGCTTATTTATGGTACAGAACTGTATTTCCTTCAGCAGGCTTTATCCTTGGGTGTTCATTTCTCCATTCCTTGCCATAGAGAGGGGGTCTCAGTCTTAGAAATCAATGAAACCTTTTCTTGGACACAGAGACAAGCCATTGGAAGGGGTGATTCCAAGAATTGTGCTTTAATTATGAGGATTCGTAAAATAATTTTTACAGCTTTTTTCCCCCCTCTGTTAAACATTTGCAAATTTGGGGTCTTCTTCCAAGGAGAGTCTAGACTAGAGAAAGAGGAGGCTTTCACAGGAAGAGTACCTTGCTGGAGCTTCCATGAGCATAATTCATGTCCTTAGCAAGAGAAAAGAACATTAAAAGGACGTGCAT